TAAGATCAAGAACTTTGTCACGTCTCTGGTCTACTGTCATGACAGCATATCGTTTGGCTTACTGTCTTGCACAGCAGAAGACAAGTATTGGCTAGCCGGTGGAAATGCACTGCGGTTATGTGGCGCGTTGATAGATGCCAGTGGTCTGCCGATTCCTCTGATTCGTGCCAATCAATGGTCGGGAGCGTCTTTACTAACCGCCCACACATTCACAGATACAAACACAGGCCATCACCACCGCCTGGCACCTATCCTATACGCCATACCCAAAAGACTGGGATTGCGTTGACGCTAGGTTACACATGTCACATCTTCTAGAGGCCCATGTTGCCTTTCATGCAATTATATCGGCCATTCATTCCAAAGCGGAGGGCCAAATCAGTTGCGAGGCAATCCATCGCACCAATCCCGTGCCGGGATGAACAGCGACCTGTTCGGAATGTGGCTTGCAGGAGGGTGGGTGCGGAAGATAACAGGTACTTGAAGCATGCGACGGAGGTACTTGGCAAGTCTGTATCGAGCTCCGAGGATCCCAACAGGCAAGTGAGTTTTTTTTTTAAACGAAAGGCTAGGCTTGTCTGGAGGGGTGGTGGCGCGCTACGGTTCCGATGACCCAACTTGCACAGGCAGAATGTTGATACCCTCCGATCTGCCTGAGAAGGGACACGGGTCGAATGGATGGCGTCGGTAGTATCACGTATTCGGTCTACGAACATCATGGAAGCTACGCCCCAAGCTGTAACCGACGGATGTGTGTACATCCTCACTCACATTGCAGGGTGCCATGGCGGAAGCCAATCCTGGCCCGCCTGAATGATATCACCTTGCAACCCGGCACAGCCGATAAAGTTGCTGTCTCCTCTCGAAACCGTTTTAAATACATCGTCCAGTCTCGGCACTATGAGAGAAGAGGGTCCGTTGGTCTCAAATGAGGAACCCCGGTCTATACTCAGAACAGCGAGCATCTGATCTAGCAAGGCTTGTTGAGAATGCTCTTTTTTTGAGTCCGGAGTTATCGGACTGACTGACCAGGGCTAGAGAGCCGCTATACTGGTGAAATCAATCTATCAACTACCACTTCAGAAATCAGACAATTAGCACTTGCCCCCAAGTACAGGGATAGGCCAGCCATGTGCCAATGCCCTCCATTCGCCTCTGCACGCAGTCACCCACCTGGACGGTAATTGATTGGTAGCTGTGGCTGGAGTGGTACAGCAAAAAGCAAATATCAACACGGGACAGTGTTGCTCCCTGGCTTGACTGTCTGGGTTCTATGCAGTCAGTCCGCTTCTTCAATTACTGCCCTTGTCCGCCGCATGTTTCCCCTCCCTCGCTATGAACCAATGAAAGAGGGTGATGGGCCCCATACCGGCTCTGACCATTATGGATCAAATGTGTGTACAGTAGCCTCATGAAGGCCAGACAATAAAAACTCACCAAGACGTGCCACAAATAGACCGTACACCACCACTACCAACCCTTTCCGGCATCCGGCTGGTCTTGAATAGGTGGGATGCGTGCTGATATGCAGCAAGAAGGAGGATGACGAGACCTCGGTGAGTCCACCACCGCGCACAAGGGGACATGCAAACGAATATAAAACCGCCGGAGGGGGGATCCTACGTGGTCCCGTACCAGTCCAGACGGACATGCAAAGAACATGACTCAGATATCACTACTTTTAGGCCGGCAGGTTGCCGTTTGTAAGCCAGAATTGATACCGACCTGCTACACCCAGCCGAAATTCGACCAGGCTGCCGGAAAGCAACAATATTTGTAGTAATACCTGATGGATGGGCATACACATGGCTCCATGTGAAGTCACATCAGACGGCACGCGGTGTTCAGATGGTGGGGAGGACCGTTATTGCATGCACATCCATCCCCTTGACCAGCTCCGATCTTTCAGGGTGTATGGACCACGAGGTGACTACCACCTGTGTGATATCAGCAACCGACACACACAGGGAGGAAGGCGTTCCTTCACCCTGGGCATCTCTCTGTTCTTTTTCTCATTGAACCACTTTTATGTTCTTCAGAAATGCCCAACAGCCCATCATGTAAATGGTGCTACGCAGTCAGGTGGAGTGCTGTTGGGGTGGGAAGGGTTTGATGACGGGGAAACCTGGCTGAGACAGGGTTCTGGCGTTGGCCCCACCCCTTGGTCAGGAATCAGGATGGAAATCAAAACAGGCTGAGGCGGACAAGGTTGTGGCATGCATTGTGTACAGCCTGAGATTTATTGTTCCGTCTCAAACTCAGCTCAGCTTGGCTATGGCAGCGTGCTTGGTGAAGAACTCTGCCTCTTGGTAGGTTGGCCACTATGTATCTTCCTGTTGGCGGAGGGGCTACGGGCAAGGAAATTAAAATTGAAGTAGACGAGAAGGATGAAGAGATCAATAATAAAACAAATTGTTATTTTACCGATATATAATACCGCCAGACGAATGTATAAAGAAACCACCCAATCAGAGCCCCTGTTGCTACATACCTGACTGACTGGGTAATATGGCATCCATTGAAAATGATACCGTACCCAGTTCATTCAGCCCGGTAATTCCACTAACACGCACCGTCATGTCTTTTCAAGGCGATATCCGGAATCTCAGCTTCATTAATGGGATAGAACCAGTCCAGCTGGTCATGCAGAGGCACCCCGATGGCGAGCCCAAGGCCATCATCAAAGACTGACTCCCAAGACTCATCCCTCGCGCGGAATAAGATGATGCTGTTGCACGTACGTACGTGGCGACTAACAGCAGCCACCATCAATCCCATCACATCACGCTCAAGTTAGCTAGCGAGCAAGCCAGACCCGACGACACCTCCACCCCTTGCGCGCCTGCGTGCGTGTGCATGTGCGTACGGTATAATACCTCGTTGGGGCTTTGATCAGCCTCCTGCTGATCCTGCCTGGCTGTAGTCCCCGTCCATGACCATGCAGCCTGCGGTTTCAAGGCAGAGCAGAGTCTAGCTAACAAGGCTTGAGTCTGTTCAATTTGCCCGCTTCCATTATGACCTGCTTACCCGGACGCCGGATTCGGGAGGCGGTGTTTTCCCTGCTTGCGCCATTCATGTGACGAACGCACCACACCCAAGCCCAGCTGAGCTGAGCTGAGCTCTCTCTGCCGCTGTGGCCACTGCCTCAGATTACGTGGTAAGGTAAGGTAAGGTAATCATAAAGCACAATAGGGACACTACTGCAGTGCTGGATCATTGGAGTCGTCCAGAGAGGCGTTTTCCCCCTACTCTACGGCTAGCCACTCTTGGCAGGAGAAGACGGGCGAGTAGACGACGGTTGTTCCGAAGGGCCTTACTTCCAGCAGCCATCTCTCACCCGCAGCATGCGGCCCTGGCTTGGGTTCCCCGACGCAGGACACGGTGGAATGGAATGGGTATCCGATGTCGCGGAGCTACCATCTTTCGCGGACGAGGCAAAAAAAAGGCTCTCCACGCATACCGCGGGGGTATGTACAACAGCATGGCCCGTCATCGCGGGCTTAAGCGAACGTGGGAACGTCCGACGCGCAAAAACAGACTTTGAGCCGTTCCGTCTAGACCCCCTCCCTTTCGTCTCGGTAGCTTTGCGACACTTCGAGCATCTTGGTGGTTGGGTGGGCGAGATAGCAAAGTGCAGATTGGCGCTGTCATGCATTTGATTCTGTGTTACTTTTGCCCTTTTCATGCATGCAGGTAGGCAATAAGTAAAAAAAAAAGCCCAACCTTGAAAGATGTTAGAGGGTGGAGTTTTCCTTTCCAGTGTACGGAGTAGCCACTTTGATACTTTGCTCCTCTACCCACAGGCAAGACAAGGGGGCTGTCCCGAGGCAGTGAACGAGGTACTACCAGCTCAGCCAGGGTGACAAGGAACCCAAGTCGGCCGACCAATGGGCAGTCGATCAGACATGATTTCGTCAAGACAGAGAAGCGGTCCTTGGTGGCACGCCCGGGCCTGCGCAGTCCACAAACCCACCGAACGCCTCAGCTTGCCACATTCTAGGTTTGACTTTGTCGAGTGTGATAGTGCTGTCATCACTCCTCTTGCTAGTCTCCGTGGGGACCAGCCAAGCCAGCCTCTGGGATCAGAGACAGAGTGTATTGTTCTCCCTCCCTCCGTGGCTGCTCTCTCTAGGCCGAGACAAGACACCACAGATGTCTCAAATGCCAAACCCCACCAGGTTTGGCTGGAGGCATGCGCTACTGGGAATAGCAGGAATCATCGCTAAATTGCGAGCTGAAAAGGATGTCTGTGTGGGTTTTGGGGGTCCGGATCGGATCAATGATCTGATTTTCCCTGGCTCCGGATTCCACGCACTCGCCCTCCCAACGTCAGCCGCCTGTAAGGAGGCGCCGTTGATTGATTCATTTGCCTGTGAGGAGTGCCAAGTAAGTACACAGGCAGCCTGGAATCCTCACCGGAGGCGGAGGAGAGTCCACCAACAGGAGGAGAAGCCTCCAGCCAATGGTGATTAACACCGCACCTCATGAGGCACTATATTGCAGATGCCCTTCTGATCTGCCGCGCTTGGTCTGGAGGGAGGACTTGGCGAATTACGAGTCATTCTATCCGAAACCAGCCAGCCCTTTTGCACAGATGCATGTACCTATCTCGAGAGAGAGAGGGAGGCACATATGTACTCTCCAGCTACCTTGACCCTAAAGTGCTTGCATTGCCAACCAACAAGGCCTAGCTCCGTGGCCCGGCCAGAGCCAACACCATCCCCTGCTTTGTCTCGGGTCTGGGTTTCAAGAGAGCTGGTTGGCCGGGAGGTTTTGCTGAGCTGCTCTGGGGCAGCTTCCGAAGCCTTACTGGCAACTGCGTAGTAGCATTATACAATAGAATTCCAACCCAGGCCAGACCAGACCGGTGCAAGGATCTCCAATGTTTGTCCCATCCAATTGAAATGGTTCCAGGCCCCCCAGCTGGTCGTTCTATTTCGTGTATCACTGCTCTCTCCCACACTCTCTACATGAGCACGTCTACGTAGTTTGAGGAGGCGCTACTGCTGGTGATCCTCACAAACGGATGGTGAGACATTAGATACACCGGCCTGGCCTGGCTGGACGGCTCTCTCCATGATCCCTACAGTACCCATCCCCGTACTAGCAGAAGCCATGGCGTGGCCCAGAAGAATGGATGAATGACTAACCTCAGCAACTTCACCGGCTGCACGAATCGTGGAACTTCGCTCTTAGTCTCCCCCGCCGGCCCTTGTATTATTGGACGGGCGCCCTTGATCTTGTCCATCCGAACCCAAGAAGAAAGTTGACGACTCAACAACCGTTCCCTTGCCTCATCCTGCCGTGCCGGGCGCCCCAGCCCATCAGAAAAGAAAGACGCCCCAGTGGAAGTTCGTAACTCCCTCAAGCCATCAAATGCGCTCGTCTCATCCACCCGCGTGATGATGACCCCCCTCCGCGCAGCCCGTTGGCCGTGACCCCAGGGCCCGATGAATACGCCCCTCAACAGCCTAACAGGAATCGCCATGACGATCCCAACCTCCTGCTGATTCGGGGCAGGGGTGTTCTCCCGTTCGTTAGCTGGTGAACAGTCTCATGTTGAGGGCCGTGTACATATTACCAAACTGTTGTAGACGAGCGGGGAGATGTGAAGTCTTGGCTATTTTACCTTCTTTTTTTTTTTACTTTCAATCTCTCGCTCCTTTTCCCGTTGCTCATTCCTTTCGCGGGATCGGCAAATGCAAATGGGCTGGCTACCTTCTGCCCCCTTTGGCTGGCTGCAGTCAGAGATTGGCCACACACTTTCGGGGTGGGAAAATAGCTCCCTTCTGCCCACCCCCAACGCCACCCACCACCCCAAGACTTCGTGGGTTGTTTGATGATTCCGGCGTCGGGTCTAGATGATGCAGTAAGTAAGTTCGGTTCACGTAGAGGCCCCTCCCTCCTCACACCCTTGCTCTCCCACAGGGCGCCGCAATACGATGTATCGGTAGCCGTTCGAACTCTTTGTAGAATGTAGTTCGTTCCGGCGGCGGAGGGGGGGCGAAGAGCGTAATCCCTTACGATTAGGCTTCTCGTAATCTTAAAATAAAAGTGAAAAAGAGCTTTCATCGTGAATGCAGCCCGTCTACATGCTGCCTGGGCTTGTATTGCTGGACCCCAGTTGCGAAATGGTCCAAACAGGCTTCTTTGAGAATGGGCTGCAGGGCCATTGCAGCACAGGCATGGCCCTAACTCCCACTACTTTATGTATACTATCGGACCCCTGGGAGCCTGGGGTGAGAGGAGGGGAGGGGCGGCGCTCGTAGATGGGGATGTGAATCCAAAGCCACATTTATTACTGCTTTGCTGCAATCCCGGGGGTCCGCCTGAGAGGGACCCAATCTCTCGTCTCGTTATAACATTGCTGAGAAAGGGCTAGAGGATGATGCGTCTGAACCGGTGCTGGGTCACCCCCAGGAGCGAGGTGAGCAAAGGGAAACGAACGAGAAAGAGAGGTCCCTTTTCTTTTCCATGCAGGAATTAAAGAAACAAGGATCAACTACCAACAGGCTGTCGAAGCCCAAGTCTCAGGCGTTGATCGGCTGCCGCCCGTAATTTTACTCGAGCGACTCCCCCCAAATCTCCTCCTGTACGGTACATTACACACTTTCGAACGTGAAGGAAATCGTTCCGGACCGCAAAGCAGGGATTTTCTGCGTCAACGACCTTGCCTTGGATCATCTCATTCGTTGCACCCTGCTAATTCAAACAGCTTCGCTTGCCCGCCTGCGCAATCACTTACGTGCATCACTTGGGGGTTTTTCTCCCCCACGGCCCAGCCCATCCGTGATGCCGGCACACCAACCAGCAAGGGGGTTTCTGGGAAGTTTTGGGTCGATTGATACACTATCCTGCTCAGCATGGATCGCCCCGTAGAATCCCACCCGGGCCAGAAGAGGATTGGGAGAGTGATCTGACGGCGCCTTGTAGATCTGGAATACTTCGTGTCGCATCACCTGAAGCTGGTGCACCTGGGAGCGTGAGCAAGGCTGCGTCATATGGCTCGTAGTCAGTCATCGGACTACAACATCGTATATCTCAAGGAGGCAGGTCTGAAAATATAGAAACGGTTAGGTAACATTTCACCTAGTCTAATTTTTTACGGCCATCCGATGAATCCATATGTGCTATGCTTGGAAAAATGAAGGAGAAAATACAACACGACGCCTCTCCGTGAAGAGTTACATACATAGGGTTGGGCCTTTCGGGAGGTCCGTCAGCTTCAGTCGCTGTCCATGTCTTCATGGATGGGCGCAGGGCTGCTGGCAGCGACGGCTGGCAGCTGTTGACCATCCGTCTCCTGCTCCTTTATGCTTTCCTTCTCGGCCAATCTCCAAGATTTCAATCCCGTATCCAGTACGAGCCTCGTGTTGATGGCTGCTTTGAAGTACTTCTCTCCTCTCGTCGACTTTCTCTCTCCACCCTCCAACGCAGAGAGGGCGCTGCGTGTAGTTCGCATTCTTCTCTTGGTCCCACCTTCGCTGAGTAGATTGCTGAGTTTCTTACGCTCCAGCATGAGGCTAAAATCGTACTCTACAATGCTCCGCACCCATGGAGCAACATCCACTATGATGAGCTTCATCGTGCGGTCAAAGACGGAGGGGTCAAGGTATGCCAGAGATGATGCGCCCGAGTCGGACATGGCGATAGGGTCAAAGGCAAAGGCGATGTCAAGTCTTGTCAGGGCTTTGGGAGAAGAGGTGAAGGAGGACTCCAGGATGGAGACAGCCTTTGCCTCGCTCACTGCAGTGAGAGAAGATGATGCCGCTGTTATTTGTCGTGATGTAGCATAGGATCGTAGGCATTCCCGAGCCAGAGATGATGTCGCAGCAGATATATCCGCTCTAACGTCATAGAACGGGACGAGAGGGTCCGCTTCAAGGAGAGGGCGACCCAAAATGAAGTCGTCCTTTGTCTTCTGCGAGAGTTCGGGTAGGCTTGTATCCATGGCCATGTGAAGTCCAACCCCAAGGGCTCCAGAAGCACACATGTCCGAGCTGCTCATTGCCGAGCAAAAGTCATCAAACGCAAAGAGAGCAGAGAGCCGGTCTTCCTTCGTTGATGGTTCTGAGAGCGGCTCAGCACATGCTTTGAGGCCAATGGAGCTATGCCAGTCTCCCGCATCAACTCCCCAGGATCCCCAGCATTGGCGTATTGCCTCCTCCTCGATTTCCAGATGACCTTTAGGCGAAGTGTCTAACAAATCATGACACATCCAACCCATCCCTTTGACGTACGTATCCTCACTGATGACTCGTATCACGTCTCCTTTCTCGTCTAGATCCGAGCCTTTGGGCCATCTCAGATAGAACCAATCAAATCCACCACGGCGATCCCCAACTCCTATTTGGCACCAGTAGTTGAGTTCGGTAATGGTTGCTCTCAGATCGTAGTTGCGGGATGTGTAAAGGGCTTCGACGGCAGATCTCCTGAGAGCGTGACCCTCATTTGCCGCAATAAGAAGGCAGACATCCACGGCTAGCGCCTGCGGCGGCGGGGAGAACCGGAAAATGCCATGTAAATACAGGCTGTCTAAAGGAATCAAGCTCTCGTCATTGCATGTGATGATGAAAGGCCGCCTGGACTGGGCGATCATGCTTAAGAGCGTGGCCCAGAATTGTTTGTCCTCTTCATACAAGACGTCGGCCTCCTCGAGTAGAATCAGAGACTGCCTCTGGGACTTTGGTGCAGTTTTGCTTTCCGTGGTCGACTTGCGGTCATTCTTTGGTTGGTTTCGTTGTTTCGTTGATGTGCTCGTCGTTTTAGGCTTGAAGAATGCAGTCATCATCCCCTGTTTGCCAGACTTCAAGTCTTTCGCAACCTCATCCTCGGTTTCTCCTTCTCCCTGCCCCTCCTCTGTAGCCGACTCTGGTCTGTGATGGTGGACTAGATGGTTGCGCGTCATATCGCCAACTTTCTCCAGAATATCCTTCCCACTGCGCCGGCTGCTAGAGTTGATCTCGAATATCTCAAAGTTGAGCTCCTTGGCAACAGCATACACTGCCGCCGTTTTCCCACTCCCATGAGGGCCACTGATCACCACGGCATTTGCAAGTCGTGGATGCTGCTTCTTACCAGCACCACGGACCATAGATTTCTTAAATGTCCCTGGCCCAGCATGCCCCCAAGCGCTCTCGTCCTCGGACAGTTCACTCAGCTCGGGCTCCTCCGACTCGTCACTGTCGACGACAAAATCGTCGAGCTTACTCTTGCGTTTCTTCTTCGCTGGCTTCTCGCTCTTCCCCTTGGATGAAGCAGCTCCTTTATCGGCATTTCCAGTATCAACTGACTGTACCTCCAAGGCCTCCAACCATTGCTTCAGAAAGATCACCTCCTTGTTCGCTTGTATCACTTCAGCGGCCACGGAAGGGGCATATTTCTGTGTCCATGCCATATTTTCACAGGTGGATCGGTCATACGCAGAAAGTTGAGACTCCAGGCTGTGGTATAATCTCGTAATGGCTGGATGAGTAGCAGGCGTTTTTGTACATAGGAGCTCGTCGATATCAGATTCAGGTTGTACCGAGGTGGCTGGGTGGTTCAATAGCTGACGCCGAATCCTCGATTGAAGCTTCCGCCCCGTTTCAAACACGCGAGAAGGTAAGCGAAGCTCCTTGGGTGCCGGCTCAACCTTGTTGTCGTCTTTAGGAAGATCAGTACGAACATGGCTTAGATCAAGTGCCCTTGTTAGACAGCACAACACCGACTCGTCTGTTGTCACACTGACGACCTGCCCCTTTGATTTTTTGTAGGGTAAAGATTCGCTGTAGGTTTTGGATGAGCGAGTACCGAAGGAGTCATCGCCTCGTATGTGTGACATGCCACGGGACGGCCATTCCGGGTGCTTTGCGCCGGGCACCTTTGTGGCCGCTGGTCCCAGTCTGCCCCAGTTTACCGTGTTCTTCGTCGAGGGGAATAATTGAGTCTTTGGCTTCCTCGGGGATACAGGTGTCGACATGAATATTGTCTGTCTCCGAGGCGGTGGCTGCTCCCTTGCCGCGGGTTTGGGAGAATCTGCCGGCGATTGCTTCGCCTTATTCGAAAAGAAAGGGTGAGATGGTTTTGGTGTAGAGTCATTTGGTTGGTTAGGAGGTTCTGCCTCTTTCGCTTTCCGTTTCGGCCGCCCTCGTTTCGGGAGGACATCCAGAGTGCCATCGAGGACTTGGGTAATTCTAGACCCAAGACTTTTGCGACTTGTCTCGTCCTGCCCGTATTTTATCGCGACTACGAGAGAAGGTTTGTCGATGTTCTTCGGCTTTGGAGGAGATCCAAACGTTCCAGTTTTCGGGTTAAACTTGAGAACCTTTTTTGGAGGAGTGTTGGGTAGACTAGGTTTTGGTCGAGACGCAGAAACGTCCTTGGTCGCCTCCTCCACCGGCGGCTGGGGAGGAGGGTCGTCATTTTGCTTCGAAGAGATTTCGCTTGGTGGCGTAGGGATATCACTCGCTACCGATATGTCTAGGGTCAAATCCACGGTCGTGTCTTTGTTACGAGGACGGACAAGAAGGTTGGTGATGGACTCCTGCCCCAGCATCACCTCCTTCTTCTTTCTGCCTCGAGGCTTCTTAGGTGCTGGGGCATCTTGCCCTTCACCGGTATCATCTTCCTTCTGTCTCTTCTTGGAAACCGCATGGGCATTGTTCTCGACGTCGGAGGCAACGGCGTCGGCCTGAAGGGGGCTGTCGAGACTCGTAGGGGGCGCGGTCGGTTCGGTTCTCGTAGGCTCCTTCGTGCTCTTCGTGAAGAATGGATGAAGTTTCTTGTCCTGCGGCTCAGCGATGTCCGATTGAACCATGGCGCACACAAGAACTGGACCCATCGGTGCCTACACACCCACGCTGAACCGATGCCGTAGCTGATCAGGGAATGGGCGAGTCTAGCATCAAATTTGGGTAGATAGAGAAGGAGAAGTAAAGGATCAGGGTACTGGAAAGGGTGCTTGATTGAGTTCAGGAGACACAAGAAGATTGGCACCCATGCACTATGTCGATGGCCGTCTCACTGCAGATGCCGTTGGGGGCATTATTCCAGAGGTTGACTTTGGAGTGGGTTCCGGGCGCGCGAATGGCTGTCGCGAAGCTCTACGCGTTCTGGCACTTAAAGTGACATGACGCGCCGTCCTTAATTGGCACCAGCGCCGAATGGCCTACCCGGGACTTATACGCGCCGTTATGCAGTTTAAGCCGCTGCATAAAAATTATGCAGATCGGGGTTCCCATTCTTCCGCCCCGCCCAAGGCCAAGGCTCATGCACGTACAATTCAAGCAAGTGGATTGCAGAGAGAAACATTCTTGTCAGCACGGCCTCCGGTCTTGCAGATGCTCCAAGTCCGCATCCCCTGCACGTGAGCGACCGATTACAATCTAACATCCATCGGACTGGCCCTCGTACCCGATACGAAAAATGCGATGGTGCAAAATGGCAGCAAAGGGAGTCATATTAAAGCTTTTAGGCCATCCCTGCTAGGCGGGATTCGTCACTAATCAGATGGAAAACTCACTGTTGCCTGTGTCCACTAACCAGATTGCGGCTCGCCGTGCGCATGGATGATGAATGTCGCCTCCAGTTCGGGGACCCGCGGCCTCCGCATCGCGCAAAGGCATCTTGGATCTCAGCGGTTTTCAATTGCTGAACGATCCAGGGTTACATTATTTAATTAGCTTGGTCCCTTTTGAATGTCAATTCATCGTCGGCGTGAATCATTTTCAGTCCCCGCCCCTCGAGTGAAGATTCAGCATGGTTTCATCGTCCATCTAAACCTGTCTTCTGTTTGTATAGTCCGTTTTCTCGTCCGCGCAGGGGTTTTCGCAGAATGGGAGGGCCATTCTCGATTACACTGAGAGACACTAACATCGAAGCGCCCTTGACCTGAACATGGCAGAACAAAAGAACAATGAGAAAGGCCCCGTGAGCCTCAAGGAGGAGCCGGCCAAGCAAGAACAACAGTCCGAGGTCGACTCCACGCCCTCAGAAGGCGAGGCTGGAGGGTGGGGTGCATATTTTGTATGTTCCGGCTCGATACCAATTGTGGATATTGATCAATCTTCTAATCAACTTTCCAGAGAATATTTACCTATGCCACGCGGTTTGAGATTGCTCTACAGAGTGTCTCGGCGCTCTGTGCCGTTGCGTCTGGCTCTGGTGTTGCTCTCCAGACGCTGATATTTGGTGCATTTATCACCTCCATCACCAAGTTTGCTACGGGAGACAAGACGCCGCCTGAATTTCGACGTGAAACCTCAAGATTGGCGTAAGCGTAGCTTCCCATAATAAGTCCCCTTTTCTCGTGGTGTGTTATCTGCTAATAATCTCCCTATACAGCCTCTACTTCGTCATCTTGGGTATAGGGAGAGCCGTTTTGGGGTATACTTACAACACTCTCCTGACTTACTGCTCTTATCGCATCTCTCGTAATATTCGACGGGCTTACATCAAGTCCGCCCTCTGTCAAGAGGTTGCATTCTATGACCTTGGTTCTGGAGGCTCCATCGCCACACAGGCCACCTCCAATGGCAAACTCGTATCCAAGGGAATTGCTGAGAAATTGGGCCTCACAGCCCAGGGAATATCTGTCTTCGTTACTGCCTTCATTGTCGCATTTGTCACCAACTGGAAGCTGACGTTGATCATTTGCTGTATTGCCCCTGCCACGATTCTTGTCATGGGCGTCGTTGCCGGCATAGAGGCTGGATACGAAACCAAGATTCTCGAGGTATATGCCCAGGCCAATTCATTTGCGGAGGGCGTGATTGCCAGTGCCAGGACGGTGCATGCATTCGAAATGAGGTCCCGACTGGTCAACAAGTTCGATCAATATCTTGATGAAGCCCATGGCTGGGGTAGGAAAATCTCACCCCTGCTTGGCTTTTTGTTCTCCGCCGAATATACCATTATCTATCTTGGTTTCGGTCTGGCTTTCTGGCAAGGCGTTCGCATGCTTGCCCGAGGCGAGATTGAAGATCCCGGTGACATCTTCACGTATGGTGCCCCCCCTCAACGACAAATTCGCTCCTACTAATTCGGTCATACTTACAGCGTCCTGATGGCTGTGACCCTTGGTTCCATCAACATCACCATGCTTGCCCCTCATTCCATCGACTTCACTCGGGCAGCCGCCGCCGCCGGCCAGCTTTTTGTTCTCATTGATCGCCAATCCGCTATAAACCCACTGGACAAGTCTGGTGAGCAACCAAGTGAGACTATCGGCCATGTTGAATTGGAGAATGTCAGCTTTTCGTATCCTACGCGCCCGGGCATCACGGTTTTGGAGGATTTCACCCTGAATGTTCCTGCTGGGAAAGTCACTGCTCTAGTGGTACGTTACTCTTGTCGTCTAATTTATCCATCTTATGTGTCCGACTGACCACTCTGTAAAGGGTCAAAGTGGTTCTGGCAAAAGCACCATCATTGGACTCATTGAACGGTGGTACAAGCCCACCTCTGGATCAATCAAACTTGATGGTCGGTCGTTGGATCAACTGAACATCAACTGGTTGCGAAAGCATGTCCGTCTTGTCCAACAAGAACCCATCCTTTTCCAGGGATCAGTCTTTGACAATATTGCCTATGGTCTCGTGGGTACTGAATGGGAGAATGCATCGAGGGAAGAGCGCATGACACAAGTGAGAGAAGCTGCTCAGCTGGCATACGCCGATGAATTCATCTCCGGCCTACCCAATGGATACGACACCGAGATCGGCCAGCGAGGAGGGCTCCTTTCCGGAGGCCAGAAACAACGTGTGGCTATTGCCCGTGCGGTTGTCTCTAAACCCAAGGTTCTGCTCCTGGACGAAGCTACCAGTGCTCTTGATCCCCATGCCGAAGAAGTGGTTCAGCAAGCCCTCGACCAAGCCTCCAAGGGACGCACCACCATTGTGATTGCACACAAGTTGGCTACCATTCGCAAGGCAGATAACATTGTTGTCATGACCAAAGGCCGGATCATAGAGCAAGGGAGCCACGAGGCCCTGATCGCACAGGACGGCACGTATGCCCGACTCGTTAAAATCCAGAACCTGTCTGTTTCAGCCGAGGAAGAAGCAGAAGAGTCGACCTCGGAAAATGAAGACAAGGATAAAGCCGAGCACGTTTGCGCAGACCCGGCCGATCTCACGAAGACCTTGACTCGGTTTGAAACGGCGGACAGAGCCCGCCTGGAAGCCCAGAAGGACAGGGACAGTTACGAGAACCATAAGCACCTAGGTTTCGTCGGCGTGATATGGCGCCTCGTCAGAGAGAACCCAGAACTCAAATGGGTCTACATGATCACACTCATCGCGTGTGTTCTTGGTGGTAAGTTGCCCATCCAACATTGATAATGAGATATCAACGCTGACGAATCCCAGCTGGAGCCATTCCGGGCCAGGCCCTCTTGCTTTCAAATACTGTAGAGGTGTTCACCTTGACTGGTCAGAGGATGGAAGATGAGGGGAGCTACTATGCTCGGATGTTCATAGTCTTGGCCGCAGGCTGTTTGGTAGCCTATTTCACTGTCGGCATGGCAACAAACACAATTGCTCAGGTTTGTAAACCCCATGCCCTCTAGGCCTATTGGACGGTGGTTTACAAAACTTGCTAACAATATTCACAGGCTTTATCTCATAAATTGAGGCGACAGAGCTTGGAGGATATAATGAGACAAGATCTTCAGTTCTTCGACCGACCAGAGAACAGCATCGGCGCCTTGACAAGTCGAGTTGACTCAAACCCACAGGCTATTCTTGAGCTTATGGGCTTCAATGTTGGTCTTATCCTCATTGGAATACTCAATATTACTGTTTGCAGCATCCTCGGTCTCGCCCACAGCTGGAAACTGGGTCTTGTGGTTGTTTTTGCTGGATTGCCGCCCATGGTCGGCTCTGGCTGGCTCAAGATCCGCTCCAATGCTAAGCTGGAGGAGGATAATGACAAGCGCACGAGCAACAGCGCTGCCATTGCTTCCGAGGCAGTAACAGCGATTCGTACTGTATCTTCTCTAGCGATCGAGGAGAAGGTCCTCGACAGATATGTGTCAGAGCTGGACCTTTCCATCAGTGGCGCTGTGCGACCCTTGTGTCTCATGATGCTCTGGTTTGCGCTGACGCAGTCGATGGAGTATTACTTTATGGCTCTGGGCTTCTGGTATGTTTATCCCCATTGCATGACACTAAATTATCATGACTGACGTCTGGCTTTCAGGTGGGGATGCCGTTTGTTGTCTTTTGGAGAAGTCACCATGTACAACTTTTTTGTTACCTTCATGGCCGTCTTTTTCTCAGGCCAGGCAACCTCCGAGCTCTTCCAATTTTCAACGAGTCAGTGATTTCCAAAAACCTCCAGTCAGCGACCATGCTAACAGTTTCTAGGCCTGACCAACGGAAAGAATGCTGCCAATTACATCTTCTGGCTTCACGAGCTCCAGCCAACGGTCGAAGAAAACCCCCACAACAAAGACAACGCCCCCAAGTCTGGCGGACCAATTGATATCGATTCTATCCGATTCTCTTATCCCCTTCGTCCAGATGCCACTGTCTTGAGAGGGATAGATCTTCATGTAACCTTCCCTCTTTTTTCCCTCAACCCTCCCAGAATCCTACGGCTAACTTAGACCTCCAGATCAAAGAAGGTCAGTTTGTTGCCCTTGTAGGAGCATCGGGCTGTGGTAAATCTACCATGATCGCCATGCTCGAACGGTTCTATGACCCTTCCACGGGCAGCATTTCTGTCAGCGGCGACGCCCTGACAAACCTGAACCCTCGCCTTTACCGACGCATCGTGTCTCTTGTGCAACAGGAACCCACCCTGTTCCAGGGCACGATCAGGGAAAACATCGCGCTCGGGATCGACGACCCCGACGCCGCTACGTCAGAGACATCGCCATCCTCACCTACCAACAGCACCAACGTCCCCGAAGCAGACATCGAGGCCGCCCTCCGCGCCGCCAACGCCTGGGACTTCGTTTGCTCCCTCCCAGAGGGCGTCCACACCCCGGCCGGCGCCAACGGCACCCAGCTCTCGGGAGGGCAGCGCCAGCGCATCGCCATCGCCCGGGCCCTCATTCGGAACCCCAGGATCCTACTCCTCGACGAGGCGACGAGCGCCCTCGACACGGAGAGCGAGAAGCTCGTGCAAGGGGTGCTGGCCGAGGCGGCCAAGGAGGGCGACCGGATCACGGTGGCCGTCGCGCACAGGCTGAGCACCATCAAGGACGCGGATGTCATCTGCGTCTTCTACGGCGGCAAGATTGTCGAGATGGGGACGCACGAGGAGCTGGTTGCCAAGCGGGGCATCTACCGCAAGATGTGTGAAGCGCAGAGTCTTGATTAAAGAATTTTTGTACATTATTACCTGATTTCAGGTAACACTCTAAACCCCAGACCCTAGGTAATCCCAGGTATACACAAAAGATGTTGTTAGTTTCGATCAAATGAAATTCTCATGGTGGCATCTTGCTTTGCTGGCACTACCCTATACCGAGATCCTCAACTCTCTGATGATGTCACATTAACATCTCACGATAACTTGGCATAGGCGATGTTTCGCATGATTGATCTCGGTTAATGGTAATGAAATTAACTGAGCCTTATCACGTTGCTGGCGCTTTGTTCCCCACGTGGGTAAGCTGTGCATCAGTTTCGTAATTGTTCTGAATCCTTCTACAGATTACATGAACACATAAACACCACTAACTTAGTCACTACTAGGAGCTTGGATCAAAAGCTCAAGGAACCCAGCTTTCGTGTATTATTTGCCAATTGTGGACTGACAACAATTCAATGTTGACAATGTCTGAGCAACGAGCGGATCTCCTATGTGTTCACCTTTCCAATGACAAATAGGAAAACAGCGTCATACCGTAAAGCCTCACCGAGCCGCGCATGAATCCCGATCGATGTTGATCGTCGCTTCTGCCCACAAAGGGGAATTGAGGAAACATCCAAGCCAGGGAACATCCCAAAAGCGGCCTGCACTCGTCAGCCCTGCAACGCCCAGCTGGGCCATAGCATAGACGATATAGGGAAACTTGGGCACAACGCCTCCAATTCGTCACCAGCACGATTGTATGTACCCTATACTTGGCTGCCGTCGATGCGGGCAAGAAACCGGGTCGCCGAATGAGTCAAACCCCATCGTTGACGGTTTGATTCCGGCACTCGGCAAGCTTAGGGTTTTCAAAACGCTTGCCTACTGGGCGATGACCGCTCCTGACACACTGTTCCGCTTGTCTAGTGAGGGCTCGTCCCGAACTTGCCGTGAACACGCATGTTGGCAGAGGGGCACACCTGCAAGCGCATCCCGCCAACTGCCTCTCTGCGGGAGGCTTGGCCGTTTGGGATGGCTGCGCTGCCGATCAGGATCTACAGAGTGTGACAAAGATCTGACCGGAGCCGAGAAAAACAATGAAACGTCATGATAATTCATGGGCACGAACTTTGGAGGATACTTTGGAGGATCGGGTTCCTCAGGCCTGAGCCAACGTAAAGACCACCGCTTCCCCGCCAATGCGCATTACACAGGGCTGTTCCAGCGAGCGCCCTCGAACGTCCACGTACCTGTTATGGGAGAACTTAGTCAATTAGCACCCGTTGAGATATGCCGATCACACATTTGGCTAGCTGAGCGCGAAAAAAAAAACTTTCTCCGGATGTGGCCCTCAGTTGTACCTAAACAAGCTTTTCCTTCACGGTCGCGTGACGGAACGACCGTGACCGACGGGAGCACGTAGCCTCAGCAGCTGATTTGGCGAGAAGGGGCATGGGACCTCCGAGGCCGGCTGGACCGGGGTTGGCTGGGTGGAGGGGTGATGATCAACGTTCGCTTCCTGGATGGATGACCTCACCTGGTGGGGAGGGCTGGCACACGGATTGGTCGCGGAGGAAACGAGGTCGAGATCTTGGTTAGTAGCACGTTGTGGCGAGCGAGGGATTGGCAGGGGCCCGAGAGCTACTCTGTATACGCGATTCTGGAATCTCGATGTATTGATGGTGTTGTATCTCTCAGTTCTCGGTGCGTAGCCAGCACTGGCATAAACCAGAATCTCAAAGAGCCCAAAATAACTAGACATGCAACGACAACGCCAATCAGAGGTGGCAGATCCAGTTTTCCTTCCTGAATCGGACCAACCTTCACATGCAGGGCGAGGAGATCGCGGCTATTAGGTCAGCATGCTGCAGGGCTGCCCCATAGAGTAAGCCGACGCCTCGTGTTTTGGGCACCAGACGAAATAATTGTCATTGGATTGAGTTTCATGCCTGATGAAATCTGTCAAAGCCCGGACCATGTTCTAGAAGTCTTCCAGCTGGTAGCGGGACTGGGAATAATGAAAGGGTGGATCGGTGACAGTGGCTTTGTTATCTGGCGCAAAGCTCAGGACAGTGATCTGAGCGTTGTCTGGATAATTACCTTGCCTTGCTTTACCGCCTGTTAGTCTGGAGTGTTGGTTTGAAAGTGGGTGGGTGGCCTGTCTCAGATTGAGTGGAGGCCGCACTATTAATATTCAACCTAATAATTATGCCATAAACTGATCATTGCCCGTGTGTAATAGGAATGAGTACCTGCTGGATTATTAATGCTGAGGGTCAACTTGTGGCCAGGGGTGAGAAATCAGGCCGTCAGGCAGAGAGCCGCAACAGACACAAAAGGAACCATGTGCGCCAATAGCATGATGCATGCAGGGTTCACGGCCTGTGATGCAATGGACCTTCAACACTTTCTGTCCCACACGGCACACGGGAGCGTGCCTACTAGCACAGATGGTACGCGCCACAGTTGATCAGCAGGCGCAAGGCAGGAAAGGATGCGGCCAAGGAAGAGATGGCCTGGTAGTCTAGTCTTGATGGCCCTGTTGACGTTGACACTGAAGACATAAGTGCCAGATAGAGTAGACTAGCCTGGGAGCTGCGGCTTGGCTTTTGTTTAACGCGCAATCTGTGACTTCATCTCCGAGCGAGAGGAGGTGTAACTCGTGTTGGTTGCCCCAACTTCGGGAGACGGGCCCACGAAGTAGGGAACCAACCAGCGGTTGGGTGGCATTGAGAATCTGATTGGGGTGCATTGGGTGATCGAATACGACTACGGCTCACTGTCAACAAGCGAACTGGCGGTCGGGCTGTTGTATGCGACCCATGCACCGACACGCTCCTCGATTCCCTCTTGTAGCACAGCATGGAGTCGCGCCCAGATGATTCGTTTATCGACCTTCCGACCTGGCTTTCTATCCGTATCTGCTTCCTGATTTGGGGTCCCCCACGGCTGGTGCTGGTCTCCCTTGATCTTGCTTGATTAGAGCAAGGCGCGTCTGGCAGTTAGACAGCCAAAGTTGGGATTTGGGCCTTTTTGCACGAATGACAGCGGTCCGGTAGTCAGCCTGCCAGTGACATTTCCATGGGAGACCGGAGCGTGCTAGCCCCCAGGCCAGTACCGGCCCTGGTGTCAGAATTGATATGGTCCAGACTGGCCCAGGGCGGGTTGAAGGCCGACGGTTCCTTCAGGCACGTCTGAGCAGGCATGTGCGCTCTTGGTACGTACCTCTATGCATGCACATCATCCTCGCTGGAGTGATAGAATGCGTATTGATTGGAGGTCCAGCGTGGTTTGATTAGCGTTAGCAGAGATGTCTTGTGGGCAAGCTGCCATGGCCAGACAGGCTCGGATGTACCGCGAATGTAGTGCCAGTACCAGCTAGATGCCAAAGTTCCATTGGCCATCCGCCTGTTTTTTTTTTGGCTTGGGCGTTTCCTCGGATTTTGGATATGCGTCGGCTTTCTCTGGAGATCATTCGGAGGGCTACGACCCAGATCCGGATCTCACGGAATGGTCTAGACTGGTAATGCACCTCAGGGCGCGGTTGAGGGCAGCCGGCCAACAAGACCACCCGAATTATTCTCTCTCAGCTTTTCCCTGGCCATTTTACTGTCCGTCGTGCATAATTGGTGCAGTCATCCGTCATCCACGGGCTCATGGTGCGGATTGAAGCGTCTTACGTTGTCCAAGCTCGCTCCCTGCAGTCAAAAAGCCCATCTAGGCTAAATCCTCCCGAATGCACAGGGAACAGGCTTACCCTCTATGTATGGCCTTGCAGCGTGCTAATTACGTGTGCATGTCAGTTTCAGCTGGTCGCATAGACACTGCCCTCCCATAGCCAAGCCCTGCCACGGGGGCTTCTAGGCTCTGGGGCAGCCAGCATGTAGATAATTATGGAAATGGCATTGCATTCCATTGGCCGTTTGATGAGGCCAGCCAGTGCTCGGAGCGGATCTGCACGGAGCTCATAAGGCAAGGCCTCGCCTTTTCCGCCCAGACTTGATCTCTTTTGTACGAGTGATGGCGCTCTGCTGTTCTGCCACTGACATTAATTTGTTTTTCGCTGCTCCTTAAGATCGTCGCTGTTGGTTTTGTGGTTTTGGCTTTTCGCCTCCCGAGTGGACATCGTTGATTGCTGGCAAAGCGACTGCCTCGATTCAATCCAAGGGTACCCCAGAGCGACGCTGCAAGGCGAGAAGCGTTCACCAGCCAGCCGCCTGCGACATTTACCTACCCCGATCCAGGAAACGACTCGCGGCAACCTGTACGTGTGTGGTCTGTCGGTGTGGTCGCCCTCTCGCAACTCGCGCTCTCCCCAGGTCCGGACCGGGATAATTACGCTCAACACCAGCGAGGAAGCCGCACCTATTAGGCGCGCAGAACCAAGCTGTCGCAAACGAAGCACGGCCCTGCCGTTAATCTTATTCGAAGCATCGGGATTGAATCCGAAACATTGAAGCTGTGAGTCTCACCTTAGTTCTCGTCTGTGTCCAGTCCCCAGCCCGGTTTTGTTCCCCAGCCCAAACCAAACCCACACCTTGGATCACCAATGTCCCCATCCTCTCTCTCTCTCTGGCTCTCAACCAGACCTCAATCTGGCAAGTGGGCAGGCGGCGCCGCACAACACCACAAGATAGCGCCCCCTCCTTTGCGTCGAACCCCGTCCGTCACTATCCAGGACCAGGCTAGCTCAGTGGCTCTGTGTCGTCGCTCTGGCGCTGGCTCGGACGCTGATGCTGGCTTCCCCACAGCCTCCACCGCCAGCTGTTCTCCAGGCCAGAATGGGGCCTAGTGGCAGGGCCTGTCGTCGTCGCGCTCGCTCGCAGCGGTGCTGAGTGGTGTGTGGTGTTGCATCTGGGATTGCTTGGCTTCTGTTAATGCGGGTTGAAACATGGGAGGAAAGAGCTACGCCGCCGCCGGTTTGGCCGCCTGCCCGGCACTTGTGCACTGACATCACCGCTTCGTCTCTCCCCCACCTTGCCTTGCGCTCTGCAACCTGGCGGTCATCCATGGCTTATGCTGTACCTGGCGAGTGAGTGCGAGCCATCATTGTATGTACCTGCTACCGCCATGCTCCTCCCTGCCTGGGAAATGTCGGCATTCATGCGTTGCCCTGACTGGGTGGGTGCATCATGAGCCACACCTTGCTTTTGCCCAACCCATCCCATCCCCATCAACCCGCGAGAGCAGAGCAGATCCAAGCAGAGCAACAATCCCCCCCTCTGTCCTTCTCCAACTTTTTTTCTTTCATTTTTCCCACCGGGTGCCCAGGCGAGGAAAAAAAAAAACAAGCCCCAATTCCCCCTTCAGCCGCCTCGCATATCAAAACCTCTAGTCCCCCTCCACCCACGCCCAGCACCCATTCCAGGCCACACACTTAAGCCCGGCCGGCTGCACCTTCGTCCCCCCTTCCCCTTCTTGGCCCATCTAGGCGCAGAAGAGAGCGAGCCAGAGAGAGAGAACCAGAGAGTAGCTTGGTAACAACTCCCCCATTGGCGCTATTGTTTCAGCTGCATATCGGCACACGATCATGTACTCTGGTTTCCCATGACTGCCTCGTCCACATCCACCTTGAACTTCTAGACTCTTTTCTCCTTTCAGCATCAGCTGAGGTGTCAGCCTGATTGATATTAACAGTCATGACAGCCACGCCCGCCACCTCAAATAAACCTCGCCGCCCCAACAATTGGATTTCCTCAAGTTGCGGCAACGTCTACTACCGGCCGCGCGGCAAAGACAAAAAGGCGCCCGCTCCTGGTCTTTTCCCACGACCTCTGATCGAGCCTCGCAGGTCCAGGCCGCACGCCATCCACATTGTCACGTATCCTCCAGGCTACGTCCCCCCCGAGCTTCGCCCTGCGCCAGAGTCGGCCTGGTCGCGCAGAAACAAGGTTCGAGCCGCCCGAAAAGCGCGCCACGGCGACGCTTCCAATTCCTCGGAGCAGCCGTCCAGGAGACGCCGTTCAGAGCGATCGCCCACTCGCACGCCCGTCCTCGACAAGCTTTTAAGCCAAATCTCCTCCAGTAGCAGCAAGCTGCAAACTCACGCGCAAAAACGGTTGTCTGTCTTGTCCACCCCGGACTCGCCCATTGCCGATCCTGCAACAAGCCCCAACAGTCAGACAGGGGTCCAGCCGCCCGCACATGCTGGTGACGTTATCCGTCCAGCGCCGGAATCCATCAACACCCAAATAGACACACAGCCTCCCACACCATCACCACACTCATCAGCATCGACGCTTCCTAATTATTCGCCCATCTCGCCTGCTTCGACGAGCCCGGCGACCGCATCGCATACTGCCCGGCCCCAACGTGCCGCCACTGACACAGCTCTAGTTGCGCCGAGATTATCGACACAGGCAGGCCACCCTGCCAACGCCCACCGGCGTCACAGCATGATGTCTGCACGCAATGCCGCCAAGTCGAGCGTCACCTCCTTTGTCACTGAGCTGCCCAAGCCCGTGGCTTCGGGGAGTGGCGTCTCGTGCTCTATCCTCCTTGCCGAGCCCAATCTGTTCCTCGCAGGTTTCGACCACGATGGATCCGCCCATCGCAACGGCCACTCCGGCACAGCCCTCCTCCGTGGAAAGCTGCAACTGAATGTCAGCAAGAACGTTAAGCTCAAGGCCGTTCAGCTGAAACTCGTCGGCCGTGCACGAACCGAATGGCCCGAGGGCATCCCGCCGCTGAAGCAGGACCTTTTTGAAGAGCAAGGCCTGCGAACACAAGTTTTGACATTTTTCAACGCCATGTACGACGGGTGGGAGTCGGAGTACGGAAACCAGTGCTCCTACACGCTCAAGGGAGAGGCTGCCTCGAATAACTCGACCTATCTCGTAGTGTCCACCCCCGGTCAGAATGGCGCGAGAGGCGCCAACCAAACTCCCAAGGAGTTGAAGCGACTTTCATTACAAAACGCCCAGTCTCGAAGCTTTGGCAAGGGTGAGAGCCCCGTGTCGACGACGACCCAAGCTAAGGGCTTCAAGATCTTCCATCCCGGTACTTACGATTACTCTTTCGAGCTGCCCATCGACCATAACCAGTTGGAGACTATCAACCTGCAATACGGATCAGTAAGATGGGAGCTCCATGCCACTATTGACCGTGCCGGCGCTTTCAAGCCCAACCTGCACGGCATAAAGGAAGTGTCAATTATCCGAGTGCCTGATCAAATGTCTCTCGAGATGACGGAGCCCATATCCATTAGTCGGCAATGGGAGGACCAGCTTCACTACGACATCATTATTTCTGGGAAAAGTTTCCCAATTGGAGGCAGGATCCCTATTGCATTCAAACTAACTCCTCTGGCCAAGGTTCAAGTCCACAAGTTGAAAGTTTACTTGACCGAGTCTATTGAATACTGGACCAACGATCGACGAGTAACACGAAAGGACCCCGGACGAAAGGTTTTGCTTCTTGAGAAGAGCGCCGGCAAGCCCTTGGCCGAGAACTGGGCCTCATCAGATATCAGAGCCACTCGTGGTGGTGAGCTGTCACCGGAACAGAGGGCTGCTGCCAGAGAGCAAGCTACTCGAAGGCGTATGCAGGAGGCATCTAGGCGTGGCGTGGCCCCTGAGCCGCTACCACAGCCCGCTGAGAACCTCCTCGGAGACCTGGATCTTGGACTCGAGAACTTGTGGGGATCAACCGAAATTGAGGCCAATGTCCAAATCCCTACCTGCCAGATGATGGCTCGGAACAGGGAATTGAGGCTCAACGCTGACTGCAGCTGGAAGAATGTCAATGTGTATCATTGGATCAAGGTAAGCGCGCTCACAGTTCGATGTGATTAGGTAGAATTTCAGCTAATCGAAGTAGGTCGTCATGCGCATCAGCCGTCTTGACCCGGAGGACCCAACAGGGACGAAGAGACGCCACTTTGAGATCAGTATCGACTCGCCATTCACGGTCCTCAATTGCAGGGCGACACAAGCCAACACCAACCTCCCGGCTTACACTGGTAACGAGCACCAGCCAATGACATGCCAGACTTCCTGCGGATGCCCAGATGCCCAGAGCGTCCCTACAGAGCTGCCCCAAGAAGCCCCAACCACTCTGGTTGGTGCAGGTCGCAGCGCGGAAGATCTTCCTATGCCGCCTCAAGCTGCCCGTCTTGCCAATGGTGCAGCAAACCCGGCTAGCCAACAGCAGGGTTCCCCAACCATGCCTCAGGGTGCCTGCACCCGCGGAGCTCGCCCAATGCACCTTATCCGAGCTCCCAGCTTCTGCCCGCCTGATATTGAAGACGACGAGTCTCCGCCACCACTGACTCCTCTTATGATCAACACCGACATTCCTGCTTTTGTCCCAAGCTTGACAAGCCCTCCACCTCAGTATGATGTTGTGGTTGGGACACCAAGCGTCGATGGTATGGCGGATTACTTCACCCGCCTGGCACACTACGGATTCGAAGACCACGACTCGTCTGGATCAGACGATGACACCACTCCGCCAAGAATCTTGGATCGATCTGGACGTGTCAATGTGGCTCATCCCCGAAGCCCTATCGGACGGATGCCCAGCAGGAGTATGGAATTGTCTCGCCCGAATCTAGGGCTGAATATTGCAAACATTGCCACATGAGTAAATCATGGGCTCACTCTCCCACCTTCTACTCACTCTACACACAAAATTATTCTCTGACATTGGCTCTCGATTTCACCCTCAACCTTTTGTCAAAATTATATAAACTCGTGTACATGCACGGCATCCCAACCCTCCTTTACATTTCTCTTCTTTCTGCCATCTTGGCTTTTCTTGATCTATATAGCGTTTACATTACCACATTTTGGACTTATGGACTAGCATTGGGAATATTGTTAAACGACTGGGTATTGGCGTTTACCGGTTTCTGTTTTCACATAGATTGGATGGGATAACCCGCTACCGTGGGCAATGGTTCTATTTGGCTGGTGTATGTGTCCATATAGTCTTCAAACTGATACTCGCGAGATGATATGTCTCCTTCTTATACATATATCAATAAAAATAGTCAATCTTCATACGTCTCATCTCCATACGTCTCATCTCCTGTATTATGTGTCCATAGACTGGATACAATAAGACAAGTTTAGGTATAGTCGAAGACTTCCCAGATACATCGGCGAGCCAAAATGGGACTCAGCTGAGCTGAAATGAAATGTTTTAATCGCGAGCCATGGCATCACATCACCACTTAAAACATTCTCAGACGAAATGAATAAATTCGCTCTAGACTAGAAATACTTGGAGTATCAATTGGCGACAAACCAAGAGAGAGGGAGGCAAACCAGCCTTTTCATAATCAAGCACAAACGTCGTGTTCAAACCAAAGACGAAATACCTTCCTTAACGCCTTTGCCGAGCCTGCGAGTTTCCCCGTCCTAAATACGTAGCAGGACATCGTGACCAAACCCCGGGGAGTGTGAAAAACAAAAACCAATTGAAGCAAAACCAAAAAAGACCAAATAAGTAAAGAATGCAGCCTAGAGCTGTGTGGGTCGGGTGAGATAGAAGACTAGGAAAGAATCCATGCGAGAAAGGAAAAAGGTTTGTCCTCTCAAGCGCCTACTCTTACTTCCTTCCCTGTTTGGGCCTCGCTCTCCTCGCCAGTGACGGGCTTGGCAGGCATTAGGGGTTTGGAAGGGTCGTAGCCAACGGACTTGACAATACCAAGGCCTTTGGTGCGTCCCTCTCGGAAGAGGAGCCTGTCGCCGGGCGCCAAGTACTCTGGGCGCTGGACGAAGCGGAAGGCCACGGTGGCGCGGTCGCCGGTTCGGATGAGCTCTCGGTCAATGTCGATTATGGCACAAGTCTGGGAGACTGGTCCGACATGAAGCATGGCCTGGTACTTGGTCTTGATGGTGGTGGCGTGAGAGAGAATGAGGACTGCGGCAAGAAATATGTTAGCATGGTAAAGGCGATTTGGAATGTATGTAACGACGAACCTTCGGCAATGAACTCCCGGTGAACTTTGGGGGCGGGCTTTCCTTCAATCTTTGGAAGGACCACCATCCCCTTTCTTACGTCTTTCCGCTTCACTCGCTTCAGAGCGAAAGAGGCAGACTGACCGGCAGATACTGCGGGCACACGTATCCGCTTGCGCTCAATGGATCGGATAGCTGTTTGGGTGAACTGACCAAGGGAGTCTGGCCCGATGAGCACGTCGTCACCCTCATGCGCCACACCTGACCGCACAATCCCGGACACAACAGTGCCAGTGAAGGGCACTGAGAAGGTGTCATTGACATGGAACTCGAAGGGAGCGTCGGCGTTGTATCGACCGTGGTGGGGGAGGATATTCAGGAACGTCCTCACAAGGTCGAGGCACTCCCCAGTCACGTTGGAGACCAGGAAGACGGGGCATATCCGCTGGCTGACGAACTGTGTAGCGGTGTTAATGCACTGCTCGCGGTCGCGGATGAAAGTTGGGATCTTTCGGGCGCCTGGACTTTTCATGATCTTGGTGATTTGAGTAATGGTTTCCTCGAGGATATTGGGGGGGCAGATATCAATCTTGGTCACCACCACCATGACGGGGACGTTGAGTGCTAGAGCGATTCCCAAGTGCTCTTTGCTCATGCCCACAAGACCGTTGTTGGCTGCTACCATTAGTAGACAGTAATTGGGGCTGCTAGACAGAAGACCAAAAACCGTCGTTCTTAGGTACTTTTCGTGGCCTGCCAAATCAGTGAAGGTGATGACCTTGGCGCTCCGTTTCCCGATTTCTTCCCATGAGAGCTTGCCTTTTGAAAATATTAGGACTGCTTACCCAGCACAAGAGGACCAAATAAAGACTTACGGCCTGGGGTGTCGGACGTAACGACTTGACCGACACTGTCGAACCCCATAATTTCCATCCCGACGGAGCTGGTCCGGCCAGTCTCTATCTCGTGTTTGTGCCTGAACAGATTCACACGGGCCTTCCCTCGTCCGTCGTCTAGGTCGCCCTTGACCAAGACACCAAGCAGGGAACTCTTTCCAGCATCAACTGTTTCTGGTTAGACTGCGATCAGGCGCAAGACGCTCGTTGGTGGCTTACCATTCCCTACAACTGCTATCCTCGTCTCAATGACATCTTCAGTTTTGGATGGCACCTGGCGAATGAGTATCTTGCCGCTGCAGCTCTTGTCCTTGGATGGCTTGGCTGTGGTGCTCGCGGCCTCCTTGTCGCCGCCGACGTTCTTGGTGATGAGAAGTTCGCAGTCGGCCCGTATCCTCTTGGCCCCTTCAACCAGTTTCTTGTATACCTGATCCCACTCCTCTGGTGTCAACTGCATTGAGTCGCCATTGTTTTCGAAACCGACCTCAAACACAGTCTCTCCAAAGCCCTCCGTTATTCGGTCACTGATGACGTCTTCGAGTTTCTTGAGGGAATCTTCGTCGGAGCTGAGCAACAGCTCTTTCAAGGGGACTTGGGGTGCCGAGTCATCGAGGTCGAGATTGTCAAAGAGCTCATCCAGTTCTTCGTGGTGCTGGGCGTCCTCGGTGCTCTTCTCTTTTGCGGCGGGATGGGATGCAGGGTATCTGAAGCTCTGTTGTTGCTCCACGTAGTCGGCGAAGTCGCTTAGTGCCTGGCAAGCAAGATGTGAGAAACAGACAATGAGGTATGTACTTCTTATGAGAGCTGAGTCATACAGATTCGCCTTTGCGCCGGTCGCGCTGTTGGTTCTTGCCTTTATTTGACATGGTGGTTCGAGTGCGATTGTACCCAATCCCACGACGCAGGTATACGAATAATCATGAAGAAGCAATGAAGCCTGAATTCTGAATAGGGCGCGAGGAGGAATAAATAAGATCAGTCCTGCATGGGGTGACTCTCTCGCCGGTTGACTCGTTCCAGTTGCCTGGCGTGACTGATGGAGGGCACCGAGGAGTCATTCGTGAGCCTGGAGGGGCGAAAGTGGCAGTGACGTGGGTTAATCCGGGGTCGTTGCTAGCTGAGCCTTGCTGGGCTGCCCGCCTATCGATAACCCGAAAAGCGGGCTTGCGGCGGAAGTGGGCAAAGAAGTGCTTACCTAAGGCGTCTTACGTACGGATATAGCTATAACGGGAGTATTCACCTAACAGGTACGACGGCAGAAGGCAGAAGATGGCTTATTATATATTTTATTGGATAAGTCGACGAGTCGCTTTCTAGCCATGCTTTGCCCTTTTAAACACACAGACTTGAGTATCTTACCAGCAGCTAATTGGAGCTCATTGCGCTGAGAAATTAGCCATGATCTGAGCAGCCATAGCGAGCGGTAAGTACTAGTTAGACCTGAGTAGATATGATGTGGACGTGATATCCGTGACCCCTCATCAAGAGTCTGTTCATGGCCATGCTATCCCTGGGAAAATAAAGGAGGTTGATGGCTCAACATATCTGGTAACGTGGGCTTTCCACTCGCTCATTATGAGTTCGTTGCATCTGACTCCAATGGCAGGTTAACTCAGAGCGGCACATGAGGTGATATTAAGACAACACTGTCGCCTGTATGCCTGTTAGAGAACTGAACGGTTGGTCTGAGATCAGAATAACACACCTCGAACAAACAGCATCTCTGATTTTCTGCTGATGGTCTGGTTTGGAATTAGCACCGGCCTTAACACAAGGGCCATCATGGGGGCGTAGTAGCTCACCTTGACCTCCTCATCTTCATCGTCATCATCCACTGCATAAATGGTCTCCTCAACCTCTCCTAGAACCAGGTTGCAATGGCTGTCATATGCCTGTCTCATGATGAGAATACTGAGAAAAAACTCTAGTGGCGTAGGGATAAACATACGTGCAGCTTGCCCTTGAGCTCTCGGTCGCCTCTCAGCTTCACGAAGACAACCTCATTCAGTAATAACCGCACCAGGTCGAGGGGCTCTGATACGTGGTTGGAGTCGTCGCCGGTGTCCGCCATTTTGATTATGCGTATAAAGAGCACTTCGGTGTTTCTGATACTCTTGGTAATGCGTTCTTTCGCGATGTGGCGTCGAGTTGACTCTGTGTGGCCTTACTCAACCCTGCAAATCTGGTGTAGCTGGTTTGAGAAGCTCCATTGCTATCATCACGTGATGTATGATAGCGGGTGACAACTCTGGCCGGAAAATCATCGGCATTTCTCCAGGCAGCTCGGTTGTTCTTGCCTAAATGCATGCTCCTGCCCCCTCAATGCTAATTATGCATTAAACCGGGGTTGTGTCCCTCACTGCAACCTACCCCAACTCCAACTGTGAGACAACGCGCCTGAAGAATGCTACATCAAAAGCATTCGCTCCCTTTCACATCTTCTGCTCTCCGTATAGCACATTGAGGCTCCCAATCCACTCGTTCATGCTTCCCTGAGCTCCCTCCCATCATGGCCGCTAGGCAGTGTCTCCTTGCTAGGGTCTGTCTAAGTCAGCGTCTCGCCCCACAAAGACCACGGTCGCAAGTCCATCGGAATCTCCAGACACGATGGAGCAAATCTGGGGCAGTGGAGCGGCTACGGCATTTCGCCTCTATTGCTGGGGCTTCAGACATTGATCTATTGCGGCCATCTCATGTGGCTCCCGCGCCGTTTGGAGACCCTCAGCTGTATATAGCACCGCGCTCTCCCCTTTCTCGGCTCCTGGCTGCTGTTCGGGCCAAGGATGCCGCCGCCATCTCCAAGGAGTTCGTTGCCTGGACGGATGTCCTGGGTGACAGGTATGCCCGGGACCATGAGCTTGCTGTCAAGCAATTTGACATCCTACCGAGCCCTACCCTTTCCGAGATAATTCGCGGTATTGATCCAGCTAGATATCCCGAAGGGGATGCGGCGAATGGACTTCTCATAACCAAAGGGCAGACGGAGGTCACGGATGTTGGTAAACTGATGGATGAGTTTGGCGTTCGCGCTCACCATCGTAGGCTCTTTCAAGGAATTGTCACCATCATTTACTTGCGGCAGAGAAGCAAGCATAGCCCTCTGTTGGTGGCCGACTTCGAAGTCTTTTTGCGGATTGCTGGTATCACAGCTGATCATCACCTGGCGTCGGCCTTGCTCACATTTTCAAGCGACCAGGGACTGCGTCAATCCCGCACTGGCCGTACATGGATCGAGTATCTGAGGGCTCGCTTCATGACTGAACCTTCAAGCTATCAATTTGATCGCAATCGGGTAGTTGTTGACCCTCTCAACCTTGTGACCGCGAATGAAATGCGTGATCCTCCGGAGGAGAGCAACGAAACAAAAAGCGCCATGACAGCCAAATTGTCGGCCATGGAAAGTCTCCGATTTAGTGAGAACGCGACAAAGCGGGAGCCTTGGAATCGTAACCGATTTGATCCCCGCCAGGACAACCGTCGGCTGGTGCGACATCAGGGTGCCGCGAACTTTCACAGTTTCTGGAACCACTGGGTTCGGCTTCGATTGTCCGTACATGACTTCGCTGAGGTGCTGCCGACCGCTATCGAGGCGTTTTCCCGCTCCAATAGCTCCTACTCCATTCTTCAGGACATCTTGAAGCCATTTTATGGTATTGAATTTGACCAAGAAAACCATACCATCACTGGTGGTCTTGATATCCAGAAGGATTCCAGCCTTTATCCCACTGACCGCCTGCTCTTTGCTCTCGTCGAGGCCTTTGGGGCTATGTCGGAGATTTCCCTCGGCATGCGGGTCATTGACTTCATCTCGCGCAGGTATGAGGTAACTATTTCAGCCAAGACGTGGTCAAATCTGCTTAACTGGACCTACGTTTGTGCTTCCAAGAAGCTGCGCGTCTCACGGCGTCTGCTCGGCGAAGAGACTACAACATATGTCAGCACCGGTGATGTCCGTCATGTATGGGAGGTGATGACTTCAGCACCCTACAATATCACGCCGTCCTTTGAAGATTTGGATACCTATATCAGGACTCTCATTATTACGCGTGACATGAGAGGGGCGGTAGATCTTATCCGCAATACAGCCATGCCATTTTATGAAGCGGTTGCCAAGGAATACGAAACCGCCGTATTTGACGAGGTGCTATTCAATGACGCCCACCGCGAGAGGCCTACCACGCGAGCAAGCCGTACTCTTTCCTCTGTTTTGACCGCATCTTCCTTTGCCTTTCAACGTCGTACTAGGGCAGAGGTTCGGAAGGACTTTGTTTTCAACCGCATCGCCCTTTGGTTCAAGGACATTCTTTCCAAAGCCTCAGACAGCCAATATCACCGAAAGAGCACCTTCACCAGTGTTGCTATCCCCGACCTCATCCGCGACTACCCGGAATTCTTTGCCACCGGCATCCGCTATAGGACCGCCTCCGGAGAGCTATCTCTTCAGGGCACCGGAACCACGCCGCGGTACGAGAAGAAGCACACGAGCCGCCAAGTCCTTCAGCAGAAGAGGGGGGCTTCCCAAGTCTTCACGTTCAAGACCGACAAAAATGGCCAGAAACGCAAAATCAAAGATTTGGAAACGGGGAAATTTGTTGAGAACCCAGACTTCAAGTGGCCCACCAATAGAAAAATGGAAATCCGGGAAAACCTAAGGATACCCTTCGAGAGACTCGGCACGGCGCGGGTCCCTCCCGCTGAAGGCTCGCGCTCAACGTACGCGAACGCCTGGTGGAAGAGGCTGGAGCAGGAAATGTCCATGTAATTGTTTCTAACACACCATCTAGAAAGGAGGAAAAGAGAAAGAGGTGGGTTTATTTAGATACTCACGGGGGTAGAGGCGAGAGGACACAATCATGGCATTATAGTGTATCATAAAGTAAAGTACAATTTCATAGCTAACATAATCGTGGCGTATATCTCAGAAAAAGTTCATAAGTGATGACAAATGAGATGGCTCTAAAAAATGACAATCTCTGTAACAAATCAAAACACCTAGATCCAAGGCTAAAAAAAAGAGGGAAAGGAAACCATGTAGAAGTTCTGTTCCCTTCTCTTCATTGAATCGTCAAAAGTGGCCGCTCTGAGGGGTATATCCAAATTTTCCGAAGCCGTGCAATACAGTAAGCCGTTACTCATAATTTTGCCACTCATCCCCGAGGAAAGAAAACAAGGAAAGTTACAAAAAAAAAGGATATAGAGGAAAACATGATTATTATAATGTTAAAAGTTTTGACAATCTGACAAGAGGAAATGGTAAAATTGGTTAGAAGGGGATGATGATATTATGTAAAGTGGTAAGGGAATGGGAAGCGAGAAAGAACCAGCTTTCCTTGGCTTGTTTTCTCTCGGGCGTTTGTTTATATGGCGGCCTCGGCGAGGACGCTGAGGAGGCTTATAGCGGCGCCGCCGATGCCAACCGCGCCGAGGGTTCCGCCTAGAGCCTTCTTTTTCGTCTTTTGGCTGTCGCTGTCGCGTTGTGGGCGGCGACCTTGCTCTCTATATCTGGAGCTGTTGCTGTAGTGGGAGTCGCGGTCGCGGTCGTCGTAGTGCCGTGGACGGTCGTAGCGGTCTCTGTCATCGGGCGGCGAGTGGCGCTTGGAGGAGTGGTGGGAGGAGCGGTCCGAAGACTCGCGGTGGTAGTCCTTGCTGCCGTAGTTGTCGCTGTCACGGCGACGTCGGTGATGATGGTAGTCATCAGATCTTGACGACCTGTCGTCTCTGAGAGAATGGGAGGTCCTTGAGTCGGAGTCACCGTGGTCCGCAAAATGGACGTGGTTCTTGTTCTTGAGGATTGACTTGGGAGGGACGGTGCTTGAGGGCGACGTCTTGTCAGGGGGGCTAACGATGAAGGGGTATGACTTTGTTCCCTTCTCTGATGTTTTGTCGTCGTCGATGTCCGTTGTGTCACTGTCGCTGAACTTGTCGCTATCGTCGCTGTCATCGTCGTCATCATCCCGACTGCTTCTGGAATCTGCCCTTTGGGCCTGGCGGATATTTCTCGCCCGCCGGGCGTCGGTGGTCTGTCTGACGAAGTCGGCGATTTGCTCCTTTGTTAGGTGACCCAAGATGGCCACATACTTGGGCCGAGCTTCATATCTGACCCGAGCTTTCTCCAAAACCTGGGGACTGACTAGGTCTCTGTTGATCTTTGTCCATTCTGCGTCGGGGGGGATCTGGCGACCATATCGATCAGGGGCTAGACGGAAGTGGTGTGTCATCCCTAGGTTTGATGGGGAGCTCCCGAGGGAGTGGTAGCCCCTTGGTGGGGCTACGAGAGGAGACGAGCCATAGAAGACAGAGGAGTCTTGCTGATCTGGGAGGTTGAGACGGCTGCTGGAGCCACGGTAAGAGTCCCGACCTTGGCGGCCGTCGGATGGGGAGTGACCCATTGTATCCCGAGAATGCTGGCGATGATGATGGTGATGGTGTTTATGTAATTGTAGCTGGGCCATGTCTGAGTCAAGGCTGTCCATGGCCAAGAGTTCCTTTGTGGATATAAGTGTCATGTTGTCGGAGGGGTTGGTGCGAGTGATAGCGTTGGATGAGGATGGAAGCTCTGCCACGGGTTGCCGTATGTCTTGGGTGATAGGTATCTTGGGTGGTAAAGGAGGAGGGGGGTCCTTGGCCTTTGGGCCGTCTTCTTCTGGGTAGACGATATATTTGGGATTATCCACTGGTGATTGAGGGACTGCTTCTTTCTCATCAGAAGGGACTTGGCATGTCTTCTCCTCGTGTTTAAGAAGCCGTTGGAGAGTAGGTGGGGAGCCATTATTGTGGGATAGAGTCTGGATGCTTCGAATGTAGGCCCGGAGAACATCCTATGTGAAAGCGGTCAGTCCCAGAATCTGGTACGAGAGGCATGGAGGAGGAAAGAGCAAAATGTCTGAAACATACCTTATGCTGTCTGAGGATGGCTGGGTCGAAGCCTTGCTTCTCCAGTTCTGATTGGAACTCCTCCCAGAGATTGTCGTCGCCGTCTCCGAACCCGCTATTCTTTCGTTGGAAAATCTTCTCTGCGATCTGATCGACCTTGTCTTTGATTCCATCGAGACCTGGCTGTGTGGTATCCACTACGGATTTGCCGGGTCTGCTTCTGGGGTTCTGCAGTTGGACGGCATCAAGAAACGAGTCGATTGTGGCTTTCCTGCCCTTGAGCTGAGCCTTGACCGAGCCTAGGCCTCGGCCCTCATCGTTCAATGCATGTTCGAGAAGTCTCAGAGTCCGGGAGCAATCCTCGACAAGAGGGGATACCTGGCTGGAGTAGACGCTCGAGGGATCGCTGAGGAGCGAGTCTGGGTCAGCAGCCTCAACACGGAGATGTCGCAGGCCGGTATGGAGCTGGCGAACAGCGTCTGCGACTTCAGCTAGGGAAGGCTCTTGCTTGACCCGGAGGTAGATGTTACGGGCAAAAACATCGATTGCGTCGATGCGTTGCTCGACTGGGATGCCACCAGTCATGGGCATAGCGTGGAAAATTCTCAGGAGTGGGAGGGGGCCAGGGAAGGCTGAAATGACTGGGAGTAGGTATGGCAGTGCACTGGAAGGGCAAAGAAGTAAATTTCCCGAGGGCTCCAGGCCTTATTTCTGTCAGTCCCAGGATGCCGTCGATATGCGTGGTGGTGGAGATGGGTGAGTGGTGGCTATAAGACTTGTCTTATACACGCTGCTGGTGGCGTATATGATCCTTTCTTGTCTGTTGATAGCCGTGGGGAGGTCCAGGTTTATTTGTACACCGTCCAGGAGAATGAAGGGGGTGGAGGGGATGATGATACAAGCAAACTAGGACAGCGAGGCTTGCTTGTTGGCTTGGGCCTCTGTTTGGGCGTGTCGAGTCGATGTCACAAGCGCAACCAACCACGGCCTCGCTTTTGTGTTGCGTCGACTGGGATAAGGCTGCTTTGGGAACTGGCTTGTTCTCGGCAGCCTTTGTTCTACGGAGACGTTATGTTTGCGTGCGCTTCACTCACTTTCACAGACTGGGGCGAGGGTGAATGAAGGGACGGAGCGATGATGATGGAGGAAGAAGAAACCGGGCGTCAAAGAAGCGATGGTGTGGAAAGATAGTCACAGGCAAATGCCACGCTTAGGCTAGAAAGCAGGGCTACGCTACAAGCGTGTCTGCGTGCTCGACCGAATCATTACATACTCGATTCCATTCCCCGATGGCGTGGGGAAGCGCCTGGAAGAGCCATGCAGGCAGGGAGCGCGAGAGCGAGGGCGATAGACAACAGACACGGGGTCAAGCGGCCACATGCAGTTTAGCCGGGAAGATCTTGGCATCAGTTGGCCGTCGCCCGTGTTGATGGAACTGGTCAGCTTGGAGGTGGAGTGAGGAATGATGGGAGACGAAGGAGGGGCGGCGGCAACGTTGTTTGGCTGGGCAGAGGAACGGTTGTGACATCATTGTCATCATTGGCTCTGGCCCGTTCTGTGTCACCGGGCGGGTCTCGACCGGGCCACTGCAGGGCTGCCCAATTGCTGAGTTACAGCGTATGTAGCCCCACTGTAGCCCGTCCCTCGCTGCGGTTTAGGGGTCTGGAGGGGCAGACTGCGCCACTGGAGCTGCTGCCGTGCACCTGCAGGAGCCTGGGCCCCTCTGGCCGCTCCCTTGCATCAGCCCTCGATCCCCTATCAATGTTACTACATACAATGGATGGAGGGTTGCTTCTCGCCTGCAGTTACGCACCAGCACTGCCAGCTCGACGGCGCCTCCGCACGATACGAAATACTATTTGCCATGCAGCATCCATCCAGGAGAGAGATAGGCATTGCTCGAACAACACGACTCGACACCATCTCGAGAACGGAAAGTCGATGCAGTTCAGAGAAGAGGGTGTGTGTGTATATTTATCGATGGATGCGACTAATCTGACTCTGCCTCTCCCACGACTCCAGCGCACCCCCTCAGACATGCTCATGCCTAGAATTGCTTGGGCCATCTCCGACCAAGGGGCAGTGAGTTGTTGAGTTGAAATAGAATAAAATGATCAGTCAGATCTCATAAAGCGGAAAGAGAAAAGAACGCCCATCATTTGACTCATCCACATTTTCATCGACAAAGAGGCGAATAAAATTTTCAAGACGGCATCATAATGAAACGCTACACCAAGATACGAAGCCGCCTGCTAAAGCTGCTACCTGGGGCCAAGGAGCTTGGCTGCCGTGTCCGGCCCGTGTGCATGACGGAGAACAATGTTAGGGCACATACGTCAGAAAAAGGAGCCAGAAAAGAGAGTTTGCAAGATCCCTCAAGCCCCAGTCCCCAATGGTGGATCGGTATGCCTTCTAGAAAGCCAGAGGGCTCTAGTGGTGCCTGCGCCCTACGGTCGGAGGTCGCCGGAGGGTTGACATAAACAGCGGCGGCACTTACAAAGCAACTAATCTCTGTTAGTGTCGGCTTCTTTTTGTCAGCCGCACTGCCCCTCATCCTGCAGATGCACATCAGCAAGTCATCCAGGGGATCCATCGCCAAGAAATCTTGCCCCTCCATCCTCTCGTCTTCTGACTGGCCTCGTGTCCCTCGCTCCCACTCATCTGATATGCATTTTTGAAGGTCACACAGGTCACAGGGTCTTACAGCTCCCTTCTCCATGCTGACGAATTGTCCGCTTGGCGGCCAGCCTATATGACTCGGCTCTGTCTAGTCTTCACGCCAAAGGCCCCCTTTTAGCAAACGAGATGACTGTCATGCTTTTCTCCATCCCCATTTTTGCCTCCTAGCCCATGCGATCCATCCCCGGCCCGTTGGTGATGCTAGTTAGCTAGCTGGAGCTGAGCGATGGCGGCCGACGCCGCTGGATCTATCTGGCTCCCCGCCTCATCTATTGTTCTGCCTGACGGCTAACCACGCCTAGGGAACAGGTTCGCATGCGACTAACGGTTCCACGAAACTGCTTCACAACCAGTCACCGGGGAAGCAATTAGCCTCGTTCGCCAGATAGAGGGACGCCCTCAGGACGAAACAGGCGTCCTGAGTCGCGCCCGGTCAACGTTGCCTTTCCCAGGTCCACAATGTGCCACCTGCCATGCCGTGCGTCCGGCGCGTTGGGATGGGACGGTTTTCTCGAAGCAGACAAGACAAGGGGACCACCCCATCGGCCCACTCCTTAGGAAGGGCTCCGCGGCTGGATGCCGCGTACTCGCTGCCTCGCTCCGTCATGGTATCCCCGAAGACCCGAGCCCAGCTCACCGGTCGCGGGGGGCATTAAAACAACAAATATGGTAGTAACAGAGGGCGGGGACTGAAGTGATCAGGAGGCGCGCCTGGGAGACGAAGAAGCCCCTCCGGCTCGGGCGCACAGACGTACAAGAAACCTGGCATCCCCGTCCATGCTCTTGGGTTTCGGCTGTCACATGGCTCTTCTCTCTCCGAAGTCGCTCGCCCGGCTTGCTAATCACCGTTGATAATAGAGTTCGAATTTAATATTTCAGCTTGAGCCGCCTTATCGCTGGCTTGCGTCGGCTTAGTAGAGTTGTCTTCGTCGAGCTGAGACTTCTGCGGATGATGCTCGGCGGCGAGCTGCGAGTCCTTTGTGCCAAGGCGACAAATGTCATCACCGGATGAGCCCCCGTGCGGACTCTGGGGCAGCACAAACGGGCTTCGAAACTCCCTAGTGTGAACACAATCCCCTAATGAACACAATTGTTTTGCGGGTTACGGCCGGATGGGTTGATGACGTTGGGGCAAGCCGTGGTACCGGACCCCGTCATCCTGTTGTCCGAATAGAATGGCTCGTCGCAGCTATTGTTATCGTCTACGAGTGTTTCGAGTTTTGGGAAGAGGGAGGTTCCGAACCCCCTGAACGCTTAGTCTCACCTGCTTTGCGGCTGAGTGGTAGAGCCACTCCCCGTCAATGATAGTGCTGAATTGGGTTCAGAAAGACTGAAACTCGTTGGAACCGAGTCAGGCGTACTCGTGCTGCATTGACCTAGAATGCCACAAAGGCTCTGACGTACAACGTGAAAAGGGAAAAAGGAAGGCGTAGTTTAATGTGATGGGGTCTCGCTTGGTAGTGTTCCAGCAGCGAGACTGCTTACAAGGCTCTGGCTGATTGCACGAAATCTCCATGCCTACTTTGAAATGCTTAGCACTCTGTGCATGTTCACCCCTCATCTAATTAGATGACTTGTCGAGGGCATTGAGTTCATCAGTCGTGCAGCCCTCATTGCCATGCACGTAAACAAAGGCTTGGCGATTATCATTTCCAAGAATGGGAATACGGCCCAGGAAAAAAGGGCACATGCTAAAAACTTAATTCATCCATGGTATAAACGCCTAGAGGATTATGTTACTCCTATCTATCCAACCGTGAATATCCGATTCATGCCGCGCTATATCTCTCTTCTCTATTTTTCCCATCTCCTCCAACAAGAGGTGGGCTACTTCCGCTGTCAAGGTTCAGATTGACCCTTTCGACAATCAAGCATTTACATGTTTGCTGCATGCTGCTGCAGGACATCCAGTCTGCTGACCTCAGATGGCTATGTGCACCGCCAATGCAGTAATAGTGCAGATCGCACCACACCACAAGCGCAGCAAGAAGAAGCAAGCTGCATAAGCGAGTCAGCCAGCCCGCGCATGCACCCCATAATCGGACGTCTGCCTGGCCGATAGCCTTGGCCTCCGCCCAGGGTGTGTGTGTGTGTGTGCCAGCTTCCGGATTTTGCGGCTCAAATAACCAACTTCTCCAGCGAGTAGGCCTCCACCTTCTGGCTGATCAGGTGTCCGGTCTCACGCATGCTTCGTTGCACCACCTCGCCTCCAGACACGACCTTCTCCTTGGTCGGCAACGCCTTGACCTTCAGGCCGAGGGGCATCAGCCGTGACTCCCGCCCCTCCATGTGCATCGTGATGGGTTTGTTAGTGTTCCAGGTCTGGCGGGCGACGCCGCTCTTCTGGGCTGCGAGGCCGTATCTTACCGACTCGCTGACATAACCCTGGAGCTTGACGACTTCATTGACGCCCTCGAGTGCGGCTGCGACCTCGAGCTTGAGCGCCGTGATGAAGTCACCAGTGTCTTCGTTGTCCGCGCCTGCCATGGCGTCGTTGAGCAGCCACCCACCTGAGCCCACGGCATCCAGACAGCGGCCCAGGAGGTCGGAGATGAGGGCGATGACACCGTCTGGCGGCGGCTCGTTGCCCTCCGAGTCGAAGCTCGTGGGGTCCAAGTACAGCGAGGTCCATGCGCCCTGCACCAGCTCGACCCTGAGTAAGTGAAGGAGGGATAGGATCTCCCCGACCTGCAAGGTTGACCGCAAGGCTTTGACCGTCTTACTTGAAGGAAGGCGCCACAGTTTGGCAAAGGCCAAGGTGAGACCTCTCGAGCGCACGCTGCTGTCATCTCCCAGGTAGTGTTCGCTTATTGCGATCTTGCGCTCCAGGTCGTCGAGCTCCATGTCATCCTCCTCAGTCTCCTGGTGGGCCTCGTTCTTGAGCAGTTTCGTATTCGGCTTGTTCGCATCCGGGATGAGATCCATGCTGCGCATTAGTGCCCGGATAGCCAGCAGGACCTCAGACTCGCCCAGCTTTGTAGCACGCAGGTAGTTGTACAGTAGCGTCATGGAGGGGTCCGCCTCGGTAAGGCAGACGATCAAGTCGGCCGCCAAGGCCTCGCCGCTCTCCTTGCCCACTTCCAGCTCCTCTCTGAATGCTGATTTCAGGTTCGATAGCGTCAGGTGGCCAGCGACGGCGAGGTATGTCGTCACGTTGCTGTCTGGGAGGACGGGCCGGAGTTTTAGTCGCGACTCCACTGACTCGACCTTCTCGGCCGAGAAAACCTGGCCAATCGCGTAGATGACCCATCTTCGGTCCACGGATGGATATGTAGAGTGTTCTTGATGCCAATTCCACTCTGCGGCCTCTGGTTCCACGCCAGTGCTTGTATCCAGATCGACGTAGAATCGTTTGCGTAGTTCCTCTTCCCACTCCAAAACCTTGTTCTTGCTCAGGAGCTTGTCGGCTTCTTCAACAGCGGCATGGAATTCAGCGAGGTAAGTCTCGGTAATGGTTCCAGGAAGGGTGTGAGAAAAGTAGGAAGGTTTGTCGTCGGCCCTGGGCTTCTTGGCGGGGATTTCTACTGCGGTCCCACGGCCAATGGAGTCGATAAGGAGACCGGTCCTGCGACGCTTTCCGTGGCTCTTGGGGGGTTCGACGTGGATCGAGACCAGAACATTGTCTACCAGAGCCACAGCGAGGTCTTGACTTCGCATGTATGCAATCAACTGGCAGCTTCGCTCTCCATCACTCTCCGGGGGCAGATCTGATAGGTCGAGTGTGGATTGGGCATGGACAGAGCGGTATTGGTAGTTGTAGAGTTCCAAGGAGCCGTTCGAGCAGGACAGGACGAATGGGCGTGACAAGCGAGTGAAGGACTGCGCATCCTCCATAGGAATGACAGACTTCAGCTTTGGAAGCGCAGCGCTGATATCGAAGACACTCAGAGCACCCTCTTGCAACTGGAGTAGAATGCCAGACTGAGAATCGAACTGGTAGGACGGGCTTTCCTTCGATTGGGTTTCTGCTGAAACGATCGGGGACACATCCAACGGCGTCAATCTCTGGAGCTCAGATGCACCAGGGGCGGACCCGGACAGGATGGCTAGAACAACCAAGCGCCTCGTCACAAGGCCTTCACTCAAACTTCGAGATACCATTGCCAAGAGCGTAGGGTCGGAGTTTGCATTTCTTGGTAGTGCGGCAAAAACCTCAGGGCGTCCTTTGAAAACTCCCTCAGTGAAATTTGAAATGGACCCCGACGTGACATGCTCAATTGTAAACTCATCGATCGTCCCGGCAGAAACGTCCTGCACAATGGATCGAGAGGCCGAGTTCCATTGGATAGCGAGGCTCTCCCCAGTGAGACAGACAACCTCTCCATTCTCGCAAACAACTACCAGATCGCCAACGGCAGACGTCGCTGATGCTGCGTACGCAGTAGTAATGTATCGGACAGGCGAAGTTCGCAAGGTCTGAGTCTTGGTGGTTGAGCTCGTCTTCCCGTCTCGGTGAACAACATCTCTGAACAATGTGATTTTCTGAGAGGCGCCATCGTTCGTTGCAATGAAGGTATACCGAGACACATCACTGCTGCCTGTGCGTCGTATTCTAATCGAGTATGGGGGACAAGTGAACGAGTCCTGGGGAGGGATAGGGTATGAAGTGATTAAACGAGAGGCCGGGACCTGGGTAGAAGTTAGTACGATTTCCCCCAATCGCTTGTGTATGCAGGTGGTATTACATCGTAGATGCTGGTCGTCTCTCCGTCAACACCGACAGCCAATTCGGTCCTCTTCCTCTTCACACCATCTTTCTGGGCGTACACCTCGCGAGCTGCGATCCGCCCACCGGTATGGTGCAGCGGCCTGGGTAGAGTGGCGAGCACATACGGCTTGTTGATTTTGTAGCCGGAAGTCATTTTGTCCTCCAGTCTTACGGCTGACAGCGTCAAGTGCAGAGTCGAGTTGTGCTGTGAGAAGGCGCAATTGCCTGTCGCCTGCTGAAGCTGCTCTCCGATATCTTTTTTCTGCCGTCGAAACTTTTTGGCGGGCTGGAAAAATATTGACTGGGGACGGGCCGGTGAAATTCCGATGGTGGGGCGCCAATTGTTCGGATGATGCAGGTGGGCGACATAAAATGTGAGACAATAGAAGAAGGCTGCGCTCATACTTGGGAATGAAAGTTTGGAGATAATATGCAGTAGTTTCCAAAATTAATGACAATCATGGACAAAACAAGGAGATTATTATTGTAGACTATTCTATGTATTCCTATTGATGAATGAAGTGATTCTGCTCCTATTGTTTTGGGATATCATCCCAAGGGCTCGGTGTGTCTTGTTTTATGTCACTCTTCAAGTGGTTCTCAGTCTCAATCTTAGACTCCACATTCCAATCCCGTTTCAACTCAATTGGAAAATCCGTTTCACTGACAAACTTACTTTCCACTGCCATCATATACTAATATGTGAACATAATAGACCGTTCATTTTGTTTAAGATTTCAACTTCACTCCTGCCCTTTTCTATCAATTGAGATGGATGGTCACCTCATCCGCCACCATCGGAACCAATTTCCCCATCCTCTCATCCTTGACCTCAGCACCATCAACATCTACAGCAAAGAGAACCTCTCCCACGCCGGACCCATTTACGATGCGGTTTGACCATACCAAAATCGTTTCCGCCTTGAGGCTGCCTGGCCGTTGCCCCAGCCTGATTGATACGGCGCCACTGTCCAAATTGTAGGTGAAGCTCTGGATAATGCCGGCGTCAATCTTGACCTCCAAGCCAAGTGGCCCGATGAAAATCTTCTGCCTCACCGCATCCCTTACTTGCACGCTCGCTGTCCTCTCATTTACCTCCAGGACCCCACCGTAGGAGACAAGACCAAACTGGTCATCGTCGATCAGAAATGTCCCAGATCCCAATGCCATACCAACAAATCCCGGCCCATAGTCACCACTGAAGCCATCCCAGGACAGGTGCTCCGGCCGTGCATGCATGGCGCAAGACGCAAAGCCATCTTCATGGATGTTTGATAGAGGCGCCATCGTGCCAGCGTAGCCTACGCGGATGAGGTAAGAGTCGGACGGGTCATCTTTGAAGGCTGAGAGAAGCGCCAGCGCGTTCAGCGCCGAGCCGTAGTGATGGATCTGCCGTTCTACCGTTTGGAGCTTGCCAGTAACACTGCCCGCTGTATAAGTAAATTCAAGGCATCTCCAGGACATCGTTCATCCTGTAACTAGCTCACCTGAAATCCCAATATCGGCGCGCGTTCCCGTTGTAGCCCCAGTGGGGGATCGTGGGCATATAACCTAGAATAGTGTCTCTGGTCTTGTGCTGCATCTTCGTCTCCCCGAATCGTCTAGTCACCACGCTTATTAGCGCAGATCTAAGAGCAGGAATAGGGGATTGTGATACTCACCGACACCAATAGTACACTCCCTCTTGCCCAGTCGAATCCCATGACATCTCGCTGCCAAATGGATACTCTTGGGTAACCCATTGACTTACTCTGGCCCTCATGGCTTCCTCCAGCAGCCCAGCTTCTACTTTCTTTCCTTCCTTCTCTAGATCGTCTAGTATCTCCCCAAAAACTGTTTCTCCCATGAGGCCCGCATCGTTGTAGCCCACATCAGCTTCCATTCCTCTCATCACGGTCTTGAAGGCACGGTCTAAATACCATTCCCACTCATGCCCCACAGCTGTAGGATATGTCCTCGCCACACGGTACAGAGCCCAGTATGATGCCGCCGGCCAGACATAATTGTACGCCCGGGTCACTTGGTACGCCTTCGCCTTGTTGAACGTGCCTTTCTTCCAGTCAATTGATGTACTGTAGTTGTAACCCGGCACAGCTTCCGGCTCGTAGAAGAAAACAGAAAGCTTCACGCCGCACTCTTCATCTTGAATTGTCTTAGAGAGCACCTTGTCAACAAACGAATCCAACTTGGACACTTCCTCGGCATCTGGAAGAAACGCCTGCTTCACCACGGCGGCAACATACGCGCCCGCGCCGCCCTCGTCGCTTAGACCGGCGACCCATACTCGCTGATCCTGAGTCACGATAGTCTTTGTGTCATGGTCGTATCCCATGGGGGATGGCCCACGACCAAAAGGATCTGAGTCGTCATCGAACCACTGCTCACTGGTAATAAACCGACCGTGGTCAGATACCGCTTCCGAGGCGCTCTTTGTCACATAGTAATGAATCGTCTGGACTTTCTTATCCTCGTATGTCACAGTTACAAGCACACGACCCCAGGCCGAGTCGGTCGGTTTCACAGAGAAATTGTTCTCGTCTTGCGCTGTCACGACCAAGGCGCCAGCGGGCTCAACTCCAATGGACGATACCTTTGAGGAGTATTGCAAATTCAGGCGGCCGATGATATCTCGAGGGAGAATGTACCCTGGGACTGCAACTGCTGTGGGCATGTCAAGTTTTCTCAATGCGCTGTCGATTTCCCTGACTCCCCCTTTGACCAGCGTGAAGCGAACTCCGTATTTGAGCTCTGCGCCTGGCCTGATGACGGCAGATGTTGGATGATTCCAAGGCTGTGCATCTTTCCACTCGTTGGCAGCCCACGATTTAGAGTGAACCTGCCATTCGTAGTAGCCCTCCCATCCGTTTGACTCAATTCTAGTACCGCCTCGGCTCTCTTCAGGTAGAAACCTGTAGGCTTCCAGGGGAGTATCTCCGATTGGCGTCACAACGAGAGCCGCGCCAGTCCCTTTGATGGGCGTTATCTGGAGGTACCCAGCATCGAGCCCGACATAGGGATCCATAAAGGAGCAATTCGCATACATGTCCTCTCTCTTGCGCGAGGTGAAGATGTTGTTCACGGAAGCCGGGAACCCTAAGCTGCCGAGCTCAACATTATAGTCCCCCGTGTTAGCGATGGTGAACTGTAGCCCCAAGTCGCCTTCAACGTCGATCCACTCGCGAGTAATATTCAATGGGCCCGTCTGCATAGTCGGGGAGAGGTTTGTCGCAGCCAAGGGGCCCCCATCTTCAAGCCACGTCACCGGAGTTCGTTGCGCGGCCGAGTCGCCATCCGACCAGTTTCCTCCACAGCGTTCACGATACCGGAGGGTGATATCGCCCCAATGGTAGCTTCCATTTTGGACGCGGCGGTCTAGCAGAAGGTAATCGTAGGGGAGAAAATCAAAGCCGCTTCCGACTGGTCTGAGAGATGCGAGAGTACCCGAGTCTTTTATAAGCTTGACGTCGAAATTGGCCGTGTTCAAGTCCACCACTCCATTTTTGAAGCCTATGTCATCTTGAGCTTGAGCTGTCAAGGCAAATAAAGATGGTGTTAGTAGAAGAAGTCTTGGGTGCTTCATAGCGGGCAGAAACTGAAGTTTTGCAAAGGAGAATATTCACAGACATACATGAACTACCTACTCTCTTTAGAGTTACCTCTTTTATTCAGAACCGGGTCCTCCACTTGCTCGTTTTCTTGCTATATCAATACTGACATCCTGCTCGGAAAAACTGCTCGTCCAAGGGTCTTTGTTCTGGAAATATGTGAGCTTAGCCTAAGAATAACGGAGATTTTCGCTGCGGGTAAATTAAGACGTTGGATGTTACGATCATTGTCCAGAACCGATCGGTCCTGGTGAAGGCAGGTCAAAAGGTCAACTCCTCAACAATTGAACAAATATTGACCAACTTCCAGATCCAATGACTCTTAGAGGCTTAGAATGGTTATGGGAGGCCCGTGAATTACTAGAGAAAAAAATTCAAATCTGCTTGGCGATCCAACACACGCTTCAACATCAGCTCAGTAGGCAATTGCAAGAGGTATGAAATTCCTAACCCAGGACAGCAGCAGATCCGCGGGAATCGAGCCCATGAGCCGAAGTTGGCCTATACTAAGAGCGTAAAATATGTCTAAGGAAGTTTAAAGTTCAAAGAATCAAAACGGCGCCTCAAATGCCAAGAAAGCAAAGGCAGGCCCCCACGTTGCCACACGTGCGCTCAGATATAAGCTTATTAAAATCATATGGGGTAAAGGAGAAACCGTCAAGGGGAACAAATGGAGAAATTTGTACGAATTATCTCCATTTTCGATCTCGGTCTCCCAGTTCTGTGATGTATTGGCCAAGATTGGGGTATCACTGTGGGGTTCACAATAGCTCGCAATTGCAGCAGAGAGGTCACATTGGAATACCTGGTAAACTTGTATCATTTGATAGAGACTCATCCAAAATACTAGGCTTCAAGGAATTTACGAGTACAACGAGGCTGTGCAGCCAAAAGGATCCCGGAATCCGATCAAGCCGTTGATGACTCATACCAGCCATGGCTTATATCCAGCGTTGTTGCATGGAGCGAGGCTTGTTGCTATTATTATTAAGCTTCTCTCTCCACTTGCACCGGAACAAGCGGGTATCGATCAAATCCAACGGTTTTTTGCTTAAATTTTCTCACGCCTAGGTAATCATCAATGTCCCATGACCTGATACGGCCAGAGTAGTCCGACTGTGATCCTGTGGGCTCGGTTCCTCTTGTCCATGGAGGATGGTGTCTGTGACATCAAACCGCCACATTCGCCTTTACCATCCGCTCACTCACTCACTCGCCTCTCATCGTAACTCTCAAACACTAGATGTATCGCCATGTCGGGCGCTCACACCCCAATCTCAGCCTCAGCGTCCCGCGCTCTCGCATGCAGCCTATGCCAAAAACGCAAAGTGAAATGTGACCACAACAAGCCCTGCGGCAACTGCGTCAAGGTCCGTTCTCCGTCTCAGCCATCTCGTATCCATCTCACACCTGAGACATGGTTTTGGGCTGACCTGGTGAAAGTAGGCCGACGTCCCATGCATCCCGGCCCCTCCGCCCATGCCGCGGAGAAAGCGGCAGCCAAACGCCGAGCTGAGGACGAGGCTCGCCCGCTGCGAGATCCTGCTCGAGAAGTTCGCTAGTGTCCAGGACCTGGCCGCGACGCCCTCGACGTCGGCCGCGCAGTCCACGGTTGGGGAGGACTCGCCGCCGCCCAACCACTCGCCAGGGATCGAGACGCTGCCGGACTTCGACGACTTCCGGGATTCGCTGACGGCTCATTCGTCGGAGCGGGATTGGAGTTCAACTCCGAGAAGCCGCCTTGTGAATGATCATGGCTCAACACGCTTCACGGACAGCCTGGTCTGGGGCATGGTGTCGGACGAGGCAAGCCTAACCAACCACCCTGCTCACTTCTCCTCACTCTTCCATTCAGCCGGGTCGTGTTAACAATGCGTTGTTGCAATCTCTAGATCAAGGCCATGCAGAGCATCATTGGCTCGGAAGGCCCCATCGTACAGGAGGGGGAGGGCACTGATTTGCATGAAGACTCAGGGTCATGTCACAACTGCGCGAGGATCATGCATCGTGAAGAGGAAAACGCCCGGCCTACGGCTGCCCAGTTGATCCGCCTCTGGCAGATATTCCTCGACCGTGTCCACCCGCTGACCAAGATTCTCCACGCCCCTTCTTTCCAGCCCTACGTAGTGGATGCCACCGGCAACTTTGGAGGGCAGCCGTGGAACATCCAGGTGCTACTCTTTGCGATTTCCCAGATCGCCGTCGTCTCACTAGACGAAGAAGAATGCATGGCTCTCATGGGCTGTACGCGAGATGCTGCCGTCCGTAGATTCTCCTCGGCAGGGAGGTCGATCCTGCATCGCCACTCGTTCCTAAGAAACAATGACTTGACCACACTCCAAGCCGTAGTATTTCAAATGGTAGGTGGTGCCTTTCTTGCCATGCCCCTTTTCTCTCTTCGGGCTTGCTAACTCCCGAGCAGTTATCAGCCCATGGCCGCAGCAACCCGCGTGCCTCTTGGATCCTGAACGGATTGTGCGTCCGTATTGCTCAGGGCCTGGGTGTCCACAGGGACGGTGAGACCCTCGGCCTCCCCCCGTTCGAGACCGAGATGAGACGCCGCGTATGGTGGCAGATTGTCATGCTCGACCTCCATTCCTCCTTCAGCACAGGGCTGGCCCCTTCCCTGCTACCCCGGTACTGCGACAGCAAACTCCCAACGAACCTCAACGACTCTGACATGAACCCCGGCGCCACCCAGTACTTCACCGATCGCCAAGGCCCAACCGAGATGATCGTGTGTCTGCTCGCCTTCCGCATGGGCGAGCTCCTCATCAAGACGCCGGGACTCGGAAGCACCATCTTCCAGCACGAGGCCCAAGTCCTGGGCATCGACGGCCCACCAACCTCCGGCATCCCATCCCCCCTCGACGCAAAGCTCAAGGCCATCGACCAGGCCCTGGACGAGACCATGGCCAAGTACTCGTTCCCCTCAGCCGGACCCATCCACGCCCTCGCGGACAAGCTACGGTACTCCTTCTCCAGCAAACTCAGAGATATGCACCTCTCCACCAGCCAGGAGCCAGCCGAGGGCGGCTCCGCCTCCCCCCAGGACCGCCTCTTCGAATTCGTCATCCTCGACATCGGCAACGCCATGGACGTGTGCCGCAGCCTCCACGACAAGAACTTCCGCTGGTTCCTCCGCATGTTCTTCTCCCAAAAGGGCTTCTTCTACCTCGTCGGGCAGGTCTGCCAGCGCACCAGCGGCCCCCTCGTCGACCACGCCTGGCAGATCATCGAGGACGTCTACCTCTTCTTCGAGGACTTCGCCAACATGTCCCAGCCGTGGAACTTTGGCCTGGGGACCCTCGTCCTCAAGGCCTGGAGGGCGAGGGAGGCCGCCCTCCGAGCCGCCTGCCACGGCCAGCAGCCCCCCGTGCCCGCGTGCGTCGAGATCCTGCGCGACAAGATCGGCCTGGCCACCACCACCAACGGGTCCACGCCTAACTCCACGCAGCAGACTCCCGGACCGGCGGGGAGTATGGGCCTGCCCGGCGGGGCGGTGGACTACAATAATCCCGCCAACTACAATAATTCGTTTGGCGGCGCGGTGCCGCCCTGGAATGACATGATTGACGAGGCTCAGTTTGATTGGGGGTTGTGGGCGGCGACTGCGCCCACGAACATGGAAACCTTTTAGTGTTTAAGCGGGTGTTGGGTGGGAATATTTCCCCGGTTTATTGTATAACACAATCTCCGATAGCTTTTGATGACATTTTAGCCAAGAAATGATACATTATTACAGTAAATGGACAAAGGTCGTACCATGCTCCTGTGGGGAGGCGGCATCGTGGTTGTTGATACTGCGGTGCTCTAGTCCTCTTACCGCACTGCTCAACTCATGGTCATTGAAATTAAAATGGGTTGAATCTCTCGACTGGCCTGTATATTGGAGCGAGCATGCTCGAGATCGCATCTGCGGCGTCTAGGCACACTATCACTAACCCGAGAGTGGTTATTACACACTGGTGGTTGTCATCATGCCGAAACCAAGCATGAACTTCCAAGTTACTGATCCAGGGAATAACACGCCTAAGCACACTACCCAAAAATAAAATGGGACGAGAGCATAGCAGAAAACATCAAGGAAGAACAATGATACCTTGTCGGGATGCACATCTCACACTTGCCTCATCATCAGCAAGTAAACAAACGGGGAGCGAGGACGTAATGCCACGGTTCTTCTAACCTGGATTCGAACCGAGGAGCTCCTGTTGCACGGAGCAACGTACCCGTTCTACCCTTCCTGTGATCAGCAGTAGGGGAAGACACCTAGAGCTGGCTCAAGCAGTGTAGGTACACTCAGGCATGCGTCATCGGAGCGGTGCACCAATTGACCACTGCACCACATGGTCTGTTGAATAGTGTGCCCGGGGAAGTAATATATAAGGATGCGCCCTCTGTGCGGTCGAGAACTGGCGTGCCACAGACAAGGCCGGGCAAGGTAAACGAGTTTCCAGGCGCAAGGAGAAGGCTTTGGATCTTTGTTCCAGCACCTAGGTCGAAATTATTACTTCTAACGGAATGCCTGCGATGATGCAGATCAGAGTTCATTGATCGTCTAACATAAATCTTTATTTGATGTATATATCTCGTCTATCCTGAGGCAGCCTCCCGCAATCCATATAAACAACCATGCATCAGATGAACCAAATCAGTCCTTAACCTGCCTTTCTCAAAGCAAAAGCCCCGAGTAACTGTTTCCTCACCGAGCTCATCGTGAAAGAAACAGCGCTGCCGTTTGAAGCCCGACAGTTCTCAACCTCCTCCTCCGTCAACCACATCCAGCCCACATGCTCATTCGGATCAGTCCTCACGGCCTCAGCATCCTCCACCTCCACCTCGAACGTGAACTTGTAATAAAATTTGTCCCCCGTCCTATTCGAGAACGGAATCCCGAGATCCCTATCCTCCCTCTCCACACCCTCAACTTCGTCACTATCCTTGGTCACAGGTGGCGGCACCACCCTCACCACCCGCTTAGCCACCAAACCCGCCTCCTCCCACAGCTCCCTCGCACACCCAACCAGTATCGTCTCCTCGGGGTCCACGCCGCCCCCCGGCGGCTCCCACTGGAGGGGCATGCTGTCGTGCGGCGCCCGCTGCAGCACCAGCACCCGCTCCCCCCTGAAGACGACGGCCGACGCCGCCACGCCCGAGAAGTACTTGTTGTTCTCCTGGAGCCACACCGCGACTGACTTGTCCCAGCCCTTCAGCCTTTCTGGGAACGTGAAGTGGAACTCCGGGGCAGGTCCCAGGTCTGTGGCGGCCGAGCTGGGGACGGGAGGCAGCTCAGACGGCCGGGCACTCGCAGCAGCCGCCGCCTTATCCGGTCCCTGGGCTGTATTCGTGGGCGCGGGAGGTGGCGCGTATTGTGTTGATGGCAGGAGGAGCAGACCGGAATCTCGGTCTGCAGTGTCTCCTGCTGGCGGGTTCGCCAAATCAGGAGCCTCACTGGCCATGTTCTCAACTCCCTGCTCGCGGGACACAGGAGGGCCGTGATGCGATATGGTGGTTCAGGCCAAAGCTGTATCACGGTAAGATTGCGGGCGGTTTCAGAAAACTTGATGTAAAAAGGACACAAAATTTGAAAAGCCACTGAGGCTGTTCTCTCAAAAGGTGCATATGATATCAAGTCCCACCAAAAACGCCCTTAACTATGCCTCAGGAGTGTTTCGTCATTGCCTGGTCCAGAAGCTAGGCTGAAGCCGACCCCACCCCAAATACCTACAGCTTATGCAGGTGAACTGCCCTCTCACCTCGCCATCGGGCTCGCTGATGTTCTTTCTGTAGTCTTCTCACTTTTGTGTTCCGTTTTCCACGTCAGCAGTGGCTCATACGTTGGACTTCATTATGATTATGATTATGAAGTGTGTAGATACAGTTTGAATTCAGTCCAGTAGTGGGACTTACGAGGATGTGATCGCTTCCAAAAGGACACCAGAGGCCAGATGTATGTCCGCGTTGGTAGGTCAAATGAGAATATAGAGAAAATCGATCGAACCACATTCGATCCGGGATGGGTCTCAAGTAAAGACATTTTAATGAATGTATTAGAAGTTGATCAATCGGAGGGAATGCATCATAAACGATGACCAAGCTGTGATTTTACTAGCTACCCTCTAAAGCAACAGCAAACTCAATTCGTCACGTTCACTGAGCTACGAAAGTCAAATTCCTCGCCAACCTCATTCCACGTGTCCATCAACAAGTCAGTTTAGGCACTAATAACACATTCCATTTTTGGACAGCTTATATACAACATTGAATTGCTTCTAAGAGCTCTTGCATAGCTTCATACGTTCGTGCGCTCCATTGGTGCATTTGAACCGTTACACTCATTGCGGTAGAATAAATCAAAATACGCCCCAGAAAGCAAGACCGCCGATACCTTGTCGCCCATCGTAGTCAAAAGAAACAAGAATTTCAAACGAGATGAAATGGAAAAGAAAAGATCATGCGGTTTAAAACATGCCAACGCCTGCCGACCGACTTTTGTCGCCACATGGTTCATTCATTCAATCAAAGCAGCCAAAACGTTCGCCAGATCACACCTTGCATGTCCATTTGTGAAACTCTTGGTATCACTCATTCTATTTGAGCCACTGACTTCTCAGCTCTGGCCCGAGTATGGCCGGCGTGTGTCTCTAGGCATCGTGCCATGAGGTGGAAGACAGGCCAGACCGCAGATTTCTCCAGTGAGTATGCCGTGAGCCGCAAGATTCTTGTCGCGTAGCCCCTGTGCTCTTCCAAGGATATCCCTTGGTCCAGGTTGACCTTTTGTTCCATCGAGGTAATAACTTCGTTGGCACGGGTCAAAAGCTTGATATCCTCGTCCTCGAGTAGCACAATGGCAGGAACTTGGGTGAGGTCCATGTTGTCCTGACCCAGTATGCCGAGGTACTGCCCAACCCGATCTTGTAGCGTTGCGATCCATTCGGCTAGGACCTGTGCGCAATCAAAAGCACAAATGGCCGACTGCAGTGACAACTCGCGGCTGGTCAGATCGGCAAATGTTACACCAAGTTTGTTGGACATGGCAAGGGAGTCCGCGGCATACGAAGCAGCTTTCCGAAGGTGTTTCTCGCGGCGAGACATGCCGTGGCTGTTGAGGCCATCAACTTGCTTCTTGTCGCTATCCTCAATAGCCATGACGTCTGAGCCGAGTGGGGACTGAACGGCGTGCTGGATGATTTCAGAGCCTCGTGCCAACTCTTCGGCCACGCCGTCCCAATCCCTCTGCCAGAACTTCTCCTTAGACCTTGAGAGATTCACGAACAGGCGCACGTACGCAAGGTCAAGAAGTGGAATAGCATCGGCAGATAGTGGGCCCATGCCATATGGGTTCGGGAGCTCAACACTATGGTGGGGGTTGCTTGCCCATGCAGTTTGCCAGGCTTTGAGAGCTGGCTCGATGTGTCGGTACATCTTCTCCGTCTCCTCGTTTGTCCAAGTTTTGTTGTGATGTCGCTGTCTCGTCTCCCAAATATAGTTGTGGAGGGCATAGATGAGCAGGAGGCATCCAAGCGTGCTCGGTTTGATATCTGTCTTGGGTAGCTCATTTTCAGTGGGACTAAAGCCCGTGACGTTCATGATATGTTGCTGCCTCTCGTTGGTTCGGAGCAGTTCGCCAAGCGCGTCATGGAAGGTCAGAGTGTTACAGTTGGCAGCTGCGACGCCACCCTTGGCGGCAAAAGCAACACTCGACTCAGCCGCGAAGTATTCCTCCTCGCAGGGGAGATCCAGGAAGATTTCCGAATTGGTCAGAGCTGGGGTGTGGTTGTAGGCAGTTACAAGTATACTAGACAAGACAAAAACAGTAAACAGGGTTCGCTTACGCTCCTCCGAGGTTTTCCACTGTAGCCACTCCTCGTGCTCTTCGCTCTCCGTCTTGATCTTCCAGCTGCTATCATCCATGGCAGTGTCCTGTCCAGAAGGATGTGGTTCCGTTGGGCGCAAGAGGTCCGCGGCCCGAGCCAAGCTGACGAGTGCAGCACAGTGGGTCGATGCGATGTCGCTTGCCGTCTTGTCGCCGCAGTTGTGTCCGTAGACGACGTTGAGGAGCATCGCCTGCACAAGCCAAACCGGGGTGTGCTTCCCTCCTTCGTCCATTGGGTCAGAACTGTCAACGCCGGAGGTGCTTCGCCGGACGTCAGCTTTGCGCACGTCGGCCTTGCGCCGCTCCTCCAGGTAGAAGAGTATCAATTTCTTGGAATTTTCAAAGAGTTCTCGGGACTGGGTATGGTTCATCTCGTAAAGGGCGCCAATTGCGGCCATGGAAAGAATTAGGCAACCACTACCACCTACGCCATTCGTGTGGACATTTTGGGAGGACTGCGGATCAAAAGAGAGTGTAGGAAGATGGAGAAAAGGCATATGAGGGTGGAAATAAGAAACATAAGCTTTGACATATCGCTGGAGGTCCTGGGTACTGGGCAGATTGTGTGTTTGGCCGGGCACGGATTGGACTCCCGGGGATTGCGAACGGCCCTGCGAACCAAATGAGTATTTACGGCCGCCAAAGGGCAAACACTGGGACAAGGCGTTCACGATGGTAATCCTGGTGGACTCTGTTATTGTTGTCACAGGCGAGGCGGCACCATGGTTCCCGCCACTCAGCGGGGAGGGCGTTTCTGGGAGGGCGTTGAAGCCAAGGGTGTGGTTCATGGTTTGGTGAGCTGTCAGGCCTGATACGAGGGAGGTCATCGCGGATGAGGGCGTGGACAAGTATGGGTCATTGGTCTTTTGAGAAGTTGTAGCTGGTGCTGGCTGAGGTGACAAAGGAGCCCCGTTTAGGAGATCCGGAAAGACTGACCCATTGATATCCAACGAAAACGGATTTGGCATCTGGGGAGGTGCCATGAGTGAGGCCTGCCACATGGCGCTCGTTCCAGCCGGTGCCTTGTGGTTTGACCCATCCAACATTACATCGCTAATCCCACTCTGGCTTGTTGTACTAATCGCCGATGGGCTCGATTCTTCCACCACATTCTCGGTATTGAAGGACATTTGGTTTTCAAATCCTGTCAACCAGTCAAAACTATCATCGAAGGGCTGGCTCGCCGACATGTCGGTCAGGGAGGAGGGGAATGAAGAGGTGTCCAGCGCCATGGAGGGGGGCGAGTCATTGTAGTGGAGAGCATTGGGGTTTATGGTCGAGGACATGGTGCCACCGTATAGAAGCTGCTCAAAGTCAAAGTCATGGCTCAGGGCGGCAATGGGGGGCGCTGTTCTCAACCCGCTGCTGAAGTCATTGGGAAGGTTGGGCTGCGCCGTCTCGAGCTTGGGCAGGCCATGGAATGTTCCCCTTTGACCCATGGCAGCAGCCATGCCGGCGAAGGTATGGTCGAAACCATGAATAGGGAGACCAGCAAGACTGGGATGACGGTTGTGGGTGGGCGGCATTCTGTTGGCGGGAGCAACAGCTTGGGCCATGAGCTGCATCGTGTTCTGATCAACATGGCTTATGGTGTTGGCCCTGGGGCGCATGGTGTTGGCCGCTGCATTGGCACTCGCTGCAGCATTCGCCACACTATTCTTTCGGGCCCGGCTCTGAGCGGGAGTGGCACCACTGGTAGACTCGCGTCGATTTCGTGGGCGGGAAGAAGGCGTCGATGTTTGGTGAAGCTTCTGCTGGTGGCGGAGCAGCAAGTCACGGCGGGCGAAGCATCGCGCACATTGAGGGCACTCGAACGGCTTCTCCTTGGTGTGGGAGCGCTCATGGCGCTTGAGATGTTCTAGTCGAGCAAAAGAGCGCTGACATGTCCCGCAGACATGAGGGCGAGGCTTGTCGGTTTTAGGGGGCGGGAAATTGTTTGGTGGGGGTTTGGCGGTATTAACAGTAATTGTCGACGCTGGACGACCGTCAGTCAAAGCCGTGAGTGACATGGAAGGTTTCGACTAGGAGGAAATTTTCTTCTTTTTGCCCCTTCTCTTCTTTTTTTTTATGACGGTGACAGGAAATAATTTAGGGGGGAGGGTAAGCGGCTTTAGAGTGAGAGACAGCTATGAATCCCACTGTTGTTGTTGTCGCCATAGCGGGGACCCGCGACAGCAAGCTAGAGGAACAGGAGGGGCAGAGGGATTGAGGCATGTAGGGGCCATGGTGGGGGGAGGGGTTGTGTCAGACTCACCAGAGTCATCCGCGTTGGCAACGCCAGCGTTGGTAGCTATGGAGGCAGACATGGTAGCCGCAGAGCGTGAGACTCTGACTCCAGAATCGTTCATAACCATGGCAAAATAAATGAGGGATGTAAATGCGATGGCGAGGACGAGGGAGGGTTCGATTTGTTGCTCGCTGCGATTGTTGGCCGCAGAGGCTGCTTGCAATCCAGAGAGGGCTTGTCGGGAAAATAGAGGCTAGCTGGGGCGGTAATTGGAGCTTCGTCGTGGGGCGGAGGGGTGCTGATGCTCGACGTGTATCGAGGGTGGGTGTTGTATCGTCAGCGGGACGGTGGCCTCAGTTCAGTCAAGAAGAGGCTTGCAACGGCGATTGCTCGGCGACCGCAAAGCGCATGCTCCGGAGCTGGGTTGTTGTAAGGATGATGATAAGCTGGGACGTGGTGGTGCGCGAGCCGTCGATGGGAATGGCGACGGTGGGGGAAGACGTGGACACGACACGAAGCAACTCAATCAATCGTCTATCAATGCGGGAATGAAGAGAAAGAATGAGAAGCTTGGTGAGAGAGAAGGTCCAGGCAGAGAGAAAGGAAGAAGAGAAGAAGAAGAGCAAGGTAGAGCTAGTGGAAAGCTGCGGCAAGAAAGGGAGGGTTTGGCCTGCTCGCTCGCCGGTCAATCCTGTCCTGGGTCTGGTGCCAGTCCCAGTCGGCGTCCCAGTCGCAGGCCCAGTGCCAGGCGAGCGAGGACGGGATAGGATGGCGAAAATGCAGGAAAGACCGAGGGTGCACAGTTCTCTAGCACGGTGCGGAGCCTCGCTGTTACATGCGATGTGCCAGTGGCTGCACCCCTGTCGGGTGAGGTACTTGGCCCCAGCACAGCCTGTGAGCACGGAAGCAAGTGCTAGCCCCGGCCAGGTTCCAGTGATAGTCTGTTACAGATGGGTATGGACCCAACCACCGAGCAGCAGCCCGACCCCAGCGCCGTGCAAGCCGACGCAATTGGCTCGCGGGCCTGCTTCGTATGTACGGAGTAGCGTAAAGAGTATTTAAATTAGCACTCCTGCAGAGGTCGTGGATGGCTGGGTCCAGGGCCTGCGCCGCTTGCCTGTGCTGGGCCTAGCGGCATCAGTAGAGGCTGTGGTAGAGCCGTCCTGGCCTGTGCTGGCTGGTCGTGGGTACGTTCCCAGCGGGTGACTGGCGTGCGCCGCCTCTGCACGCTCTTGGCTTGGCTGCACGCGGGATAGACAAGCTCTACTAACCTCGTAGGCCGAGTCGAGTCCAGCGCTGGTGCGCAGAAAGTACACCTACTCCCATGGCTGGGTGCGTGCTTATGGCATTACCCGCCAGAATTTGCCTATCTGCTGTTCGAGATAGGCAATGCAGAGGTTCCAATGATCCCGTCTCCGTTTCAGACGCCACGGCCCCAAGCGTCAAGACGATGGGATAGTGGTCTGCCATAACTATGCAGCCGGAATGGCACCATGATGCTAAGCGTGTTCCCTATTCAGTAGCCTCGCAACCGCTACAGGGGGTCTTTCACCTGGGAGCAAGGGTCTCTGGGCAAAGGTGACAAGCGAGATGGAGGATGAACCTGGCCTGCAAAGTCCGGAGTAATAGGATGTGTGTGATATTATTCTTGCAATTAGCCCACGGCACAATCGCATCGCCGGGGGATGGGCATTCTCATCGATCACGGGGCCACGAAATCGGCACAACACCCCTTGCCCCCAGCGCAACTGGGACAAGGACAAGGACAGCGCCAAGGCAGCCCCTAACTACCGGCGGCCAGAGAGGACCAGAGGAGGGGCGCGATAGGGATGGAAGGATTTCCAACCGTTTCGCACGTCTGATTCATTTAGGTAGGTACCACAGGTTGAGCAGGCTGTCATGGTGAGCTGGAGAGAAGGCTGCGACGACAAGCTACTAGCATCGACGGCCCAGCAGCCAATACGAGTCAATTGTTATGCGAAGCGCCCGCCGAATGCGGCCAGCCTGGGTCCGGCTTCATATGTTGGCTCTAGTTTTCAGGAATTGGCCCGGCGCTTGGTCGGGTCAGGTAAGATCAGGTCAGGCGGCAAATCCAACGGCAAGTCCAAATCCAAAAGCAAAAGCAGAGCAGAGCACGGGGGCTGGAGAGAGAAACGAATCCGGAGCTTGTCAGGGAGTTTCGGGGAATTCCTCCCGCGAGAGGCGAAGCAGACGAGCCGCAGCCAGAGAGGCCTCTCTGTTATTGACGCAATGGCAGACAGAGCAGAGCCGTGCTTGTTTGTCTTTCGCATTCGAACAGGTACTGTAGATTCGCCAGTGCCACCGTGACGTCGCACAGTGCACGCTGGGCCAGCGACACACGCCGCCATGCCAATACATTGCATGCAACAAGAGACTTTTGCAGGAGCCATTTCGTGTGGGCCCAGTTCCAGCGCAGCCCAACCTTGCACCCAATGCTAACTTCAGAATAATCGGCCCTCGACTTGGCCTGCTAGTGCTTGTCCTGAATGGATTTGCCTGCTGATCTGCCTATTATTAACCCGTTCGCCTCGGCGTGGCTTCCAACTACACAGAATAGCTGTCATGATGGCTCTTTTTATTGAAGGAAAATATCCCGCATTCCTTCCACCGGCAGCCTTGGATAAGCTTATATCTGTCCAGGCATGTGGACATTTGCAACCGAATGACGATTCACCATTGGGTTGTACCAGGCCGTTGCGACGTCTACGTAGCCATTGCCAGTTCCATTGAGGCGACCGTGGTATCGCTGGAGCTATGTCTGCAGCTGTATGTAGGTAATATCAGGATGTTATACGCATGTACGTATTTCAAACAGGAATGTCCCGTCCCGCAGATCACTCGGCCCTGTCTGCCAACATTTCAGCGAGCTAGCTGCTGCGGTGCAAGGAGCCCAGGCCGTAGCACCGCGGGGCGATCGGTTTCCTCCCCAGGGTCAAGCTCCGACTCTGATGCTATCTATACAGAACCCCTGCTACGTGGGTTTGCTGGTGGATGCAGCTTGTGGCTGGCTCTTTGCTGCCTCTTGCACATTAGCGCGGCCGTCGTCGTGTTAGTGGAGGGTAGGCGGACGGACATGTGCCGCTACGTATTACCGTCGTGCTGCCCCGGCCGGGATGATATCAAATAAAGGGTTGCTTTGCATTTGGGGGCAATTCGTCGGGAGGTCGAGAGAGCAGGTTGAAAACCTGGGGGCAAGCACACAGTGGTGCAAGCATCGACGGGTTCCAGACCGACATATCATGTAGAATAGTTGCGACACACACACACACGGCCAAGCTCCAATGCGCGCGTGCATTGGGGTGACGATATTACTACATGTGGTCTGCAGTGGCTGGACGATGTGGGAGAAGTGAGACATGGAGAAGATTGGCTTGGAATTAGGACAGACAGCCATGCCATGCCAGCCTGAAACCATGTGGTCTGTTCCTGAGGCTGTCGCAACATTCGGTGCACGCCGAATGAGGGCCCGTCTTGACCGAGGCATGGAGAGACATCCTCCGCCAGGAAGATGGATCATATCGAGGCACGGCCAGTTGTGCTATGCCGCCGTGCACGAGATGCCTCATCGATGTGGGCAAGGTTCAGGTGCCTGTGTATACACCCAGGCAGGCATGCACAGACCGGTCAGTCGCCACCAATGTGTGCATGCAATGTGCATGTGTGTGATTTGGTGTAGGCATGTCAGCGTGTATGTATGCATGTGTATTATATGTATGTGCTATGTACGCACATCCAGATTGGTGAGCGTGCTGATGGAGTTGGTTGCTGGTTGGTCGGCAGTGCTACAGAAGATGCAGATGCAGCATTGCAGCTGCCTACAGGATGTATTCCAAAATCTCCTTGGCAGGTGCGGTCGCCTGGCACCTTCCACTCAGTGTCCCCAATGAATGCCTCAACGGCAAGAAGGAAAATTCGTCAATCCGTAGATCCCGCCACTCCCACTCCCATTTTCTACACCTTCGCAGCCCGGCAGGTTGTGCTATCTATGCGTTCGACCGTCTATCATTTCACTATCAGCTTCCGACTGTCACACCATCTTACCGCGCCTGCCTGCATGAGATGCCTTGCCTCAGGGGAATGGAGCCCTCATGCCGCTCACTGCACTCATCCACCACTCCATCTCGCACTCACACACGTTTGTATTCTTCTCGATCCGTATGCGGCTACATATCGTTACATGCTCAACGGCCTGCACAGGGCCCCTACTGGCCACGGATAATGGATAGGATGGGGAACGGTTGCACCAAGATCCACCGCCGACCCAGTCCCCAACAACGAATCGCAGCCACGCAGGCTCTAAATATCATGGCTGATGGTGCGTAATGCCCTGTTCCATCCACGACGATGCTTGGCCCTCGCTCAACGCTCGCTTCTAGAATTTTTCGCGCCGGACCGGTCTCCACGCTTATCACGTTACTGTTGAGACAACTCGACCTACTCATCTGCCTCGTTTTCTACCAAGTTTCACCTCACCTCGCGGGCGCCCCTCTTTCCATGCGGATCTCACCTTTTGTCCCTCGCGAATACGCTCACCGCCAGATAGATTGCATGTCAGACAGCCCAAACTGGACGATGGAAGAAAGAAAAAAACTTTTCCTTCACGCCTGATCGGTAAACGAGCCTTACCGAGAACCAACATATGTGCAAAAATAAATATTACTAAACCACCCGATAAAAACCCTACCCTACCACCTGAGGTCAATGAAACGTCTTCGGCGGCCAATGAGGATACCAGCGGCATAACAACGGAGGCCTTGGACCCTTGCTCGCCGCAGTGGGGGGGCCTTCTCATTGGTTTGAAATAGTCACCGGACCACCCTGCCACGCCTTGCTGCAAGTCCATGGCCATGAGCACGCATGTACATTTATACTTGCATGCCAATACAGATAAGACCCCCTGATAGGTACAGTACTTCGAAGCCTCTTCTTCTTGAACATGCAGCAAATGTCAAGGGTACCATTGGCTGCGTGAACACGATGAGAAGCACATTTGCGTTCACACAGACACTCGCTGTCACAGGAGCCAATTGATTTCGAATATGAGGTCCCAGTCAATCCATCATTCAATGGGGCACTCCCCTGTGTTTTTCTTGACCGGGTCCGCATTGCAACACGATTGATGTACGTCAGAACTGTGGTCACATACAGGGTTGGTCTGCCCATCAATTGATACCTTGTAGGCAGACAACTGTTACCCTTGCGTGGGTTGGCAAGCCTTATGGTGGCCAAGTCAATTGAGAAATTTCCATTCTCAGCATTCGCCACTACGGATTCATCTGCAAGACTATTTACTCCATACGAACCTGCATGAGCCTAAAATGAGGAAATTATTTTGAATATTTTGGGTCCTTACTTGCCACCTACGACCCTGATACCGAATTGGGAACCCGTCGGGAACTTACTTTTTTTTTTTTTGCACTAGTTCACTGCGACATCAATGAACCACTCGAGCCACTCAATGTAACCATTTTACTCTTCTCTCTTTATTGTGAGTTGGTACGGATAGGACAAGCACAACATGGAACAAAGCTTACTCTGACAACGGAAGAGGATTATTAGTGTATTAAGTGGTTGCTCTGAAACCTAGTTGAAATTACATGCGGTAAAATTATCTTGGTATGCGAATTGATCCATCGCTGGCCACCAATGGATCCAACATCTTCAGCTAGTCGGTCAACCCCATAGTCTTTTGGCTCAAGTGGCCACGCTTAGATGGCGACGGGCTTGGGGCCCAAGAGCAGGTTGAGGGACAGAGAAAGAGCATTTCCAATGTTGCTGACATTGGCGAGGTTGGGCAGGGTAACAGCAGCCTGGGTGATACCAACGACAAGCCTAGCAAGGTTCTGGGCTGAGGCGAGCAGAGTAGTCAAGTTGAGGTTAGGCAGGACATCGACAATTCTGCTGGCGAACGAGGTCAGGGGATCGGTGAGGCCCTGAACGCTGCCCTTGATGGCCTGGATCTGAGGCTGGAGGTTCTTCAAGATGCTTGGAGAGAGGAATTGATTGGCGTTGGCCAGCACCTGCTGGGTTCGGGCAATGATACGCTGGGCGGCGTAGATGGAGGTTGTGAGCGCCTGGATGTCGGACTGCTGGAGGTCCCCGGGCACAAAAACGGTGACGCGAGCAAGAATGTTGGAGGCAGACTGAACGTCCTGGTACAGGTTTGCGAAGGTGGTGCCGAGGGCAGACTGGGCGCCAGCAACCTTGTTGGCGTCAGTCACTTTGTAGACGCCCCTGATGACGTTGTCTAGTGATCTGGTTAGCACTGGAGAACCTATCAAAGACCGAGGCGGGGACTAGACTTACTGATAGAGGTCAGCTTGTCGAAGTTGCTCCTTTCCAGGTTGCTGATGGTGGCGGATATGGTGATGATGTATGGGGAGACAGCATTGGCGCTGGCCGGAGCGGCAGCTTCAGCTGCAGTGGTCGACTGTCCGCCCAAGGTGTTGAGGGCACCATCCAGCGAGTCGGCACTGTTAACCAGCTCTGCAGCAGGAGCCGAGTCCTCGCGACGAACAATAGCAGGAGCTGCCATGCCGACAGCGGCAAGAGATGCAATGGTGTAGATGCTGGAGAACTTCATGGTGGACAGGTATTGAGGGTAGACTGCGAGAGAGTGGGTTGTGAAGATATGAAGCTGAGAGTTGAGAGGGAGTGATGCTGATTTATTCTCACAGAACTGGAAAACCCAAGTCGTTTATATAGTCGAGCTTCAGCATCGTCGCCATCAACAAGATAGCGATTGATCTTTGCCAACATTTTGTTTGATCTTCATTCTCACGATGGTAAGTGGGACGTCAGTCACTGTCTCATCTCGAAATGGCAACCGATGGCTGGTCATCTCGCCCTCCAGCGCCATGTTTCGCATAAGAATACCCGAGAAAAGTCGGTAGACACATTCCAAAAGGAGTAGGGGTAGCCCAAAGCAATTACATACCTAGGTCAGTGGTGAATGAACATTCATGATATGAATGCATGGTATCGCTCTAATCAGGTCAACCGGGTGACAGTCTCGCCTTTCTTTGCGTACGGTCTTTGAGTGCCTGCTATTTTTTATTTTTCTTCTTTTGATTTTTGTCTCTTCTTCCTTCTTTCCATACTTTCTCTCTTTGTTTTGGGTCCCTTGGGAAGATTGACCATTAGTTGGATCGATGTTGTGATCGATTCCAGTCGGGAATGCTTGGCCGTTTCCGGGTCCCGAGGGAATCTGTCTCACATATCAAAGCTAACCGTCTCAACGGCGAACGTTGATGGCGCCACATGTGGTGCCCTGCCGATTGGCTCAATCACCAGAGCCTAATTTCCTTGCGGAGGATTTCTGAGATGCTTATCAGTACTGGAATCTACCCAAGGCAACGGGCACCTGACCCCGGATCCTCTACGTTGTTACCCAAGGCCGCGGGAGCTTGCACATCAACCAGTCTGCTGGTATGAGATGGCAGCCCGGGGGATACGCCACCTCTTCTGGCTCGTCGCACACGGTGATGCTGTCTCCCATCTGATATTTCGCTTCAGATGAAGACCCGTCTACGCATTCTTGTTCAGACCCCATTCCATTGTTTACATGGACGGAAGACGTGGAGCGCTAAAGACCGCCAGAAGGAGCAATTGCCCTCAGGCCCTGCCTTCATTCCCCTGATTTATTACTTACGATGGCTTCCTAGGCCGTACGATCCAGGACCCATTGTTCCGTGGGCTAGATTGTTCACCCAGACAAAGTTCATTCCTCTGCATGTTAGAACTTAGACAGTGCCACGGCTCGCTCGGGGATATGCCCCCGAAGCATGCATGGATGGGATATCAGCAGACGAGGCATGCATGCTTGGAGCTACCCATATCAAACCCAATTAAGGCGTGCCATTGGAGCAATGGTTAGTGATGGCGCCACGGCTTGTCGATTGCAAGCTCGATGCTAATCTCACCTTGGAAATTAACCGTATTAGGCTGTACCTACGATTGTTGGACAGCTAGCGCTTTGCGAGTGGGAACTGGTAGAAGAAACCAGCCGGGATGAGACTGATATGGGGGACCATCTGACCCAACGGGGTTCCGCTCCAAGCGCCAACGCTCGGGTGGACCTGTCAGGGAGGACCAACTCCACCGGATCTGATCTGGGTATCTTAGGTCTGTCTGCTTAGCCGCATTGACGAAGGGCCAGAGCTTGGGGCAGGGTGATTGCGACAATGGTGACGATGCCGCCATTGACCGGTTGCTGCGGTTCGCTCGTGATGGGCGGGCGCGCGGGAGTGGCAGTGTAACGGTCACGGCATGAGCAGCAGCGACGGCTTCGGCGCCGAGATGGACAATGGACCAGTGGCGAGGCGACGATCATCATCCTCCTGCAGCGCTGAGGCCAGAGCAAGCTGCTGGCTGCCTTGGAGCTCCCAACTAATGGGTCGCTGGACAGGGAGCCTTGCGAGAAGCACAGACAGTGTACGGGGGTTGCGGTACCGGACTGTGTGGGCCGGCAGGTTGGCAGCACTGTGCTGGACTTGCTCGCTGGTGTGTGGGCTCCTACGACGGATCCGATCCGAGGAGGGTCCAGCTGAGGTACATATTGATTGAGGTCATTCTCGAAGTGTGACTCACACTCGATGCTGCTTATCTTATCCGCCAAATGCCAGTCCCAGGCGTCTAACCACTGGCTACTGAAGCAGAGAGTCACAACGATTGTATCAGGCGTGTGTTATTTCTCCTGTTTGTTTGCTTATCAATCCGCCGGGGCACGGTCTACATAACATGCAGCAGCTCCTGCACGCGTAGTGCTCGTGCAGGTTATGCCTTTGTGCCGCGGGCAATTTGTGCATGGGATCCCCTCTTTCCGCTGTTGGAGAGAGGTGCATACCGACTAAGACTTGACACTCGGCCAATTGACCTGCCTGCTGCACATACTACTAATTCTATAGTAAGCACAGCCCGGAAATGGAGAAATCGGGCCAAGCTACAAGTCGGGACAAAGGCAGGCTCAGCAGAGGAATACTACATCGCATGCACGCCCTGGTCTTATTAATTCATCGTCTTGGAACTCTAAGTCCCGGGTAGGACCTGGTTGAAGGCATGTCGTTGCATGTCGTTGCATGTCGTTGAATGTCGTCGGCCACCAGCCACCAGGACGACAAACGGCGGCAGGACTCTCGCTCGAATGAACGCCCGCCTGGATGAAGCAACGGGCGCACTGACAAAAGATCGTCGTCCGAGGTTCCTGAAACTAAGGAACCGGTCGGTGCACCTACCACACCCAAGCGTCATTGGAATCATGGGAAGGGAAGAAAAAAAAAATTAGAAAGGGTCCCCTGTTTCCCCAGATTATTCCATGTCGCCTCGAGTCCGTACTGTGTGTCGTGGATGGCAGGCTGCAGGCCGCACATCCCTCGAACAAGCTAGCAGCAGAACTAGACAAAGACCGTGCGAGCCTCTCATCTCGCCTCCCACTACACCAACCCAGTCCCTCGCCCGGGGTTCCGCCCCGTGGGTCAGCGTAGTGTTTGGCCCAGGCGGTCCTGGATGGGGCGGGACCCCATCCCCTGTGATGAGCTCCACGGTCGACCGTTTGATACTGGGGGAGGTGGCCAGGCCTCGATTGCCCTGGTGCATGAGGTGGGATGGAACGACGCTGCAAGTGAGGTTCCATTCATCTGGGGAGAAGAGCATCGTGTCCGCTGGCCGTCTGCAGGATATTCCAAATACGGCCTGGGGCAGATGGGAGAGCATCGACGCATCGTTCAAGTAGCACGACCTGGAGCAGCGGCTTGTCCGGGCATGACGGCGGATATTAGCGGGCTGCTGCGGAAGTGACGGGGTGGACTCGATCGAGAGACACCAACACTGGGCGTTCCTCCAAGCCATCCCTCGGCCCAGAGATGACTGCAGAGCGCGAGAGAGACAGGAGACACCGAGAGAGAAGGGCAGTCCGATCGGCTGAGTGGCCCGGGTGCTGTTGGGGGAACCACCCGCCCTCCCTCAGACACACGACTGACAAATCCGGGGTAGGTTGACTCGCGAGGGCAGCCCTGTCCTCGAGGGCGAGCCAGCGGGCGCGTGTGTGAAAGGCTCGCAGGGTCTAGAATCGCGGCGTTGGAATCTCCATCCGTTGTTGACGTGGCTTGTCGAGGATGGCGACATGCTTTCTGCCGCGAGGGCCTCTCCCACACTAGGCGAACTGTGTCTGCGCGATGCGACATGTACTTTTGCATGCCGAGGCTGGCGTGTCAGCTGGTCGAGCTAGGACGAGTCGACTCGAGTCAATTGAGAGAGGCGGTAGAGCTGAGTCAGTTCTTTTTGTCTGGAGCTGATGTAGCTAAGTCAGTGGATGGACTATGGACGGTACACTCATTTCTGCCAGCACTAAGAGGGCATTTGCTGTTTCCTATCTACCCGCAACATCGAGTTCACTGGAATGGACATGGCATTTGCTAAAGACTGAACCCTGCTTGATCAATTGGCTGCCCTGCGCTCTTGTTCTACGCGCCCGGCCCACGAGCGCATCCATGTTTAAATATCTCCCTGCCTGCTGATGCTACGTCATTCGAAGCGCCCGACGAGCGCTGCCAAGACTGCCATGATTGCCTATCAATCAAGATTTCGGCGTCAGAAAACCTGCACGATTGGCATCAGTGATGGAATTGGACAAAGAGTAGGGAACAAAGACAACATTGAATGCCGTCTGCATGCTCTCCAACTTCGTCTCCTCCATCATGGGATGACCATATCACCTGTACATAACAGCTAGCTTAATCAATTAAAAGGCTTGCATCATGAAACTCCTCCATTTGTACCTGACCGTCGTCTGCCATCTCTCGCACCCGGCGCTCTCGCAGCCTCAGCAGGTGGTCACCGTCACCGTGGCCGCGCCGATACCCTCCAACGAGCCCGAGTGGCGCGACGAGGACCGCTTCACGTCCGCCGTGCTCAACAGCACCAACACGTACCGCTCCCAGCACGGCGCCGCGGACGTGGTCTGGAACGGCACCCTCGCCGACTTCGCCGACGACTACCTCGACGGCGGCGACTGCGTCTTCGAGCACTCGGGGGGGCCCTACGGCGAGAACCTGGCCATGGGCTACCCGAACGCCACGGCGAGCGTCGAGGCCTGGGGGAACGAGCGGGACGAGTATGACTTTGGGAGGCAAGGGTTCGACAAGGAGACGGGCCACTTCACGCAGCTGATCTGGCGGAACACGACGGACGTGGGGTGTGCGCGCAGGTTATGTGGAAGGGATGGGTGGTTTCTGGCGTGCGAGTACTGGCCGCAGGGGAATGTCGAGGGACAGTATGAGGCTGCCGTGGGGAGGAGGGAAGGGGGCGCGGCGGGCTTGGTGAGGTCGTGGGGGGTGGTTGTTGCTGGGTTGGTGGTTTGTGTTGTTGGGTTGTGGTGATGGGGTTGTTCTTGGATAGAGAAGAGTAATGATATGGACAATTATAAGCGTTTTGATTTGGGGCTTTCGTTCTCTCTAAGATTCTTGATAAACTCACTTGCCCGGATATCGTCACGGAACAATATACTGTCAACTGCTTCGTAACGGTTGTTGTGAACTGCCTCGTAATGGTTGTTGGAGCATCCAAGCGACACAACGCTTGGGAGGAGATGGACACCACAAACCTAGAAACTTTCCCTGAAAAGGAATGATACCGTGCCTAGGCAGTATCGTTAGACAGGCAATGCGCCTATGTTCTGGCGTCCTAGTGATTCTTGAGGTTGAGCGTCAAGTCTCTGCGTGTGGCTTCCGACTATCAGGTGGCGCTGCATCCTTGAGGGAGGGAGGTAGGTATAACGAGAAGACTCGCTGAAAGCCTAACGGTTATTATTTAGACTGAGCAATCCTGCTCATGAGCGGGGTTATGAGAACCGGTTCTTCACGTGCCATCAAGAAGCCACCAGTTGCCAAGAAAGAATTCATCAAGTTACAACCTGGAGAGCCCATACGCTCATGGTGACCAAAGCTGTTCCTGAGATTAAGGAGCCAGAGTCTAAGAGGCCATCAAGGGTGTTCTCAAGACGAATGTACGACTTAGTGGCTGATATCACTGATGGGATGTTGGTCTGGATGGCTGTTCGGGACGGTGTCAACCCACACAGCGTCGAGCTAGATAGAGACTGTCATGGATGAACATATCTCGGAATTCTTGCCTGATAGTTATTGGAAAGATGATGAGAAGTTATCAGCAATAGTATATAATCGAATGATACAGCTAAGGTATTCGCCATCAAAATATGTCTTATCTTGCTTGGTCTTGGGTCACCGAAAAATATCACTCGACACTCGAAAAGTTAGGGAGTTCGCATGTTATCCTTCAGTCCAATGATGCGACAGACTAGAAAAAGAAGGCATTTTTTATGAAGTATGTGCATGCTATTCTCTAATCTCTATTTAGAATGAGCTATTTGTTTAGATATTTATGTATTTATTCGGGTGTTTATTAAGGCGATTATTCGGGTGTTTATTAAGGCGATTATTTGGGTGTTTATTAAGGCGATTATTTGGGTCTTCATTTGGGTGTGCCATTTCAGTGTACCCGCTTGCCAGGTCAAGACTTGAAAGTTGATCTACGAAAATGCCTAAGCCAAAGTACTAATTTGAACATCCGGCCACTTGCGATGCATCTGCGGAGGTGAGATTACATTGGAACAGTCAACGGACATCCCCGTTTATTAACAGAACCTCTCTGCGTACTCGGATCGGAAAAGTCATACCCTAAATTCAGGATCCTAGAAGTCCGAAGGCACATTGACCAATGCTATGATCATAGAAAAGGTCAGACGCGGCTTTTGGTGAATTGCCACATGCCAAATCACTGGAATCCTCCAAGCGGGATGGCAATACCAACAACATCGGTATCAACTGTCATGATAGTTCTGAACCGCAGATGTATGAAATCAGCGTACAGTTTTATGATGGCCCAATAAACCCAGAAGGCCTATAAGCCATCGCCAATCTAGATCAGAAAACAGTTGCTAGCCTGATAAACCACACAATGTACAATGTCTCTGCTATCAAAGTTGTTGGGAATACCACCAAAGCTGATGAAGTACCCCAAAACCCAGTATCCGGCGGTTTAGGTACCTTAGGGAATATCGCGGACGGTACTGGGATAAGAGGAGACGTCCTAGGTGGCAATTCAAGCGGGATGGCGGGAGATTAGATTGCCGGCCAGACAGGTGAGCAGGGAACAGTCATTGGATTCTAGGATATCTCAGCTCTGATTATAGTGATGAGCTCCATATTTTTGAAGATAGTCCGGACTTACTTCACGGAGATTCCTGGCCTAGATTTCTGTCCAGTCGGCGTGTGGTCGGAGGCGACATATATATTACCTTCGTTGATGATGGCGACCAACTCTGTTGGCGGCCAGCTTCGGGATCTTGATCTGCCACCATTGGGGCCGCTACTGAATACCGTTGCCCTGATTTTGCGAGAGATTGGCCCAATGAAGTAACGTATTGCTCTTTGTCTTGCCCTCTTTTGTTGGATATTACTGGGGGTTGGCAGACAGGGCGGTTTCGGGATGAGACGGGAAACCCAAGCTCTAAGGATTTCCCGAGCATTGTCACAGGCCACCAGCTTTGGATAGAAAGTGAAGTGGGAATAGGTAGTGCAGGGTCGAGGGAAAATCACAATGCCAATGCCGTTCCATGTCAAAGGGCTAGACCTACAGTGAGACTTCATACATATTTTGATCGAGCTAGATCGAGAGTGATGAAAGAGCCTATATAAACGACGGGTCTTTTATCCCCCTCTGGCAGGAGCTTGTCTCCTGGGGGCCCATCCCTCACGCGTGTACAGTATCACACCGACCGGAACGATGGCATCGTCGCGATACACGACGATCTCGGGATATTCCACCGACCCACCATTGGCTTTCGTTACGGCCGTAACCTGGTGAACGGATTAACATCTCGTTGGAGCAACAAGGTCGTAGGGAGGAAGGCACGTACACAGTTGTACTGATCGGAGCTGGGTGCTACCAGCGAGTGATCTGCTTGGTGCATAAGCTGCGGTTTGTCGCAAACCACCCGGCACAGGATGATTGCGTGGAACTGCGATCGGATGTGATGGTTCTTAGCATAATTGTCTGCTTCTAGAATCACGATCAGCACGCCGTCGCTAATCTGGGGAAACCTGGAACAGGAAGCAAGGCTCGGCTTACTTGAAGCAATCGGGGTCGTGTAAATGCCCTTGCCGAACATGCCATGTCTGTTTCTTGCTGGACGCCGGTTAGTATCGAGAATGAGGGTGGAAGAGGAGCGGGCGCGGATATCGGGTTATTTACAGCCTGCTTCTGAGATCTTGAACGACTCCTTCAAGATGGAGCAGAATTTGCACTCGGCGTTGGAGCAGTTATGGATCGAATCGCCCGACTCGCCGGCGTAGCAGGCACGCTGCGTCCCGTGGTAGAGAAGCATCCACGGCGCGCCGTTTCTGATGAGCATACAAGTCAGCGACATGTGCTTGATTGACGAATGTCTGTTAGCTCCGGTGCGTACCTGTATCTGTTAAACCGTATGCCTCGGACCGACATGGACACTGAGATATCTCTGGCGAGGAAAACCTCCTGCACTCGGGCGTATTTGCCGCGATGCTGCCATCGTCTGTTGAACTCTTGCTCGTCTAGTAGGCTCCATGTCAGTTGAGGGATCATTCCAAGACATCTTGATGGAACATACGTTCTTGGAAACGAACGTCACTTCTGTCTAATTTCCTTAATTTCTAAGAAAATAGGTAAATATTAGTTGATAGTGACGAGTAAGAAAGTTGTCGGTTGCTGACATACGATACCCATCTTTTAGTTTAGCTGCAACCACTGTGACGGCACTCGCTATGAGACCGGAGGACGGTGTAAGTAGGTGCGCGGCAGGCAGCAGACGTCTAGTCAGAGATGAATATGATATTCAATTTCTTCCTGAGATATCGCACCTAGGAGTCGTAAGAGGAGAATATGGGAGACGTCGCCAGCTCACCAGACGCCGAGCCGTACGGCCTACCTATATTATCATCACAACCAGGGGCAAGCACCACATCACACAGGCTCCCTGACTCTGGCTTACAGGGCCCTTTCAGCCAGCTGCATGGCTGGGCGCCTTTCCCCACTGGCGGGATGAGCAGTCAACTGCCACCGCACAAATGTGCAGGCCAGCTGAGGGCCGAAAGTGCACAATTGGGCTCGTTTCTAGCCCGGCACAATCCAATAGCTGGCGCCACAGGCGGGATGGACCGGGGTTGAGGGCTCGTAGGAATCGGTTCGCCTTGCAGGAAGACTGGACGGCGATGCTGTGCCGCGATGCGGAACGTGTGCCTGCTGCTGAGCTGCGGAAAGGCAATAGACAGGCAGTCCGGCGAGGGCTGAAGCCTCTAGTTCCCGTCAACCCTGTCCAGCCCCTGCTCCCCCTTCCCTGCGATCAATGAAAGTGAGCAATGTGGTGGCAGTGAATGAATCAGTCAATGGCACCTTGAGACAGATTAAGTAGTAACCCAAAAAAATCCCATTTTAATTACCCCTCAAACAGTGTCTGGTATCATGAGCTAGCTACAAGCTGAAAATCCGAAATATCAAAATAAGTCAAGTCAATCATACCCGCTGCCCATTTAAAATCTTGTGAAAAATGTCATAGTTCCCGTCATCCTTGGGGTCAAACACGGCGAACCAGATCTGAGCCCACCTGTTGCCCGAGAACTCGTCCTCGCGCAGCACCTCGAGCCAGCAGTGCGCAATGTCCTCGGCCGGGTTCTTGTGGACGCCGCACCCGAGGGCGCCGAGGACCAGCCAGCGGTGGTCGTTGTTGTGCGCCATGCGCAGGGTGAGCCGCATCTTGGCCTTGGTGAGGTCCCGGTCCTGGTCGTGGGTGAAGACGTCCTTCTCGTGGATGGTGCGCTTGCCGACGGTGCTCTGCAGCTCGTACGTCGTCACATCGGGCTCGCGGATGGCGGCCACGGTGACGGCGCTGATGGGCGGCAGGCGGTACTTGTAGATCTCGTGGCCCGACTCCATGTCGTCGCGGACGATGATGACGTAGGGGCTGTAGATGGCCTCGTCCTTGCGCATCGGGTAGAACTTCTCGTTGAGGCTCAGCGCGAGGGAGCTCCGGTAGCAGATGGCCTCCTCCTGGGCGAGCTGCCCATTGAGCCAGCCGCCGCCCGGCTTGTTGGGGTTGGCGAAGTTGACAATGAGAGGCCGGGTGTTGTGCTTCTCAGGGTCATAGCCGCTCTTTGCCGCGGCCTGTGACAGGCCGATGGCGACGTTGAGGGTGTCTGCGTTGTAGACCTGGATCTCAGCCGAGTCGCGGAAGCGGGGGATCGCCAGAGGCACGAGGCGCCGAGTGGTGCCCATGGTGCACAGAGTGGACTTGTAGGCGTCATCTTCTGTGCCGCGGTGCTTCAGCTCACGGCGGAGGAATTGAACTGTTTCCTGGGCCGTCTCCCTCAGCTCCTCCTTCTGGCGTGCGCGGGCTCTGTCGGCGGGGTCCTCGCGCTTGAGCCTCGAGGTCTTCTCGGAGAGCCACTCATCATACCGTGCTCGATCGCCAGGCGACATGACTGTGGTTTGTGGTCTTGCAGGTGTCAGGTGGGTAGTATGTGGCCAGCCTGGAGTGTGGTGATGAAGCTGGGAAGCTGTAGGGCGCAGTGAGCCGGCGCCAGATGCACTTTTGATCTTTCTTGGTGCCGTGAATGTGTCATCATGCGACTGACCGACCCAACAAGCAGACCAGTCATCGCTGGCCAGGCATCCGTTGGCGCACACTGTACAAGGTGCATTGCCTTGCAGCAGTGTGTGTGATCAAAATGGAGAGAACGAGTGGTTGGCGGGAGAGTTTTAGTGGGATTGCAGGGTCCAGGACCCCCAATACAGGGTCCAGATGCCCATTTACAGGGTCCGGTGGCAGGATGCGGGGCTCAAGTGCAGCTGGATGCCTTAACAGCCACTGCCACTGCCACTGCCACTCCTCGACGGCTGGCACTGCGCCTCATCTGCACCCAGCCACACCCAGAGCCGTTCACGCACGAATCCATTGCGTGATTAAATGTGAATATTGGTTGGGAATCTCATGATCCGTGCCGAAGCTAGTGCCGAAGCTCGTGTGGGAGAGAACAGCCAGGTAGCATTGGCCCAGGGCTGTGTGCGGGGTGCCATCCAAGCTTACCCTCTCCCGCTATCTGCGGGCGGTAAGACGTAGTGGTACTGTGTGGAATCGAGGGCAGCGCTATCTCGAAGGAATCAAACCCTAGACTACCTGATGCACTCGTCTAAAATTGGACAAATGCACCAATGTAAGCCACTGAACTCTGTGGTCGAGCATCGCCGGGTTTCGTGCGTGGATGCTTCGTAGAAACCTTCACAGCTCCAGTATTGGACTTTACCCCTAACCTTTCAAAATAAACCCAAGGCGGTTATCTAAGGACTATTCGTGATTATTTGTTACAAGGACACATTTTGCGAATTGGTAATTCAGTGGTACACGACCTAGGTAGGTATGATAGCATAAAATTTGGACTGAACCATTATTTAATTAAAGAGTCTTGATCCCCTCGACATGTGATTACAGAGCTCAAATATATCTCCTTAGTAATCTGCAAAATCAGTTTCCTATTGTTGTGGGCTCCTTCCCGCCCTATTTCAAAGGATATCCTGAATCATGTAAGAGTTGAGGCTTGCCGACTTCAGAACAATAGCACAGCCAGAGAGGGAGTAAGTAAGGTTTTAAGCCTGAAAGTGCTCTGCATTCCCTTTTTTTTTTTTTTTTTTTTTTTTTTTTTTTTTTTTAATTCTAACTTTACTATATTTCGCTTATATGTGGTTATGCAGAAGCGAATATAATGTAGAAAATTATTATGAAAACTCACCTAGAATAACACATGAGACAAGCTTAGCCCAGAAACTATACCTAATACCCCCCATAGCTATAGCTATCTTTGTATCAGAGATAACTACGTCTGAACTAATATTGGTGTGTCTGTAGCTTTTTAAATATTCGGTTATACATCTCACCTTGATTTCCTTGGGGCGTTGTTTTATGTTCCTATAGCCTTCTGAGAAATAAAAGTGTCTGGTGGAGTCACCGCACATTGCTCTATTTGGTTTGTTTTGTTTCTTGCTTCACCGTTCGAATAGATGACAGTCCTCGCTGGGGTCACCGTAACACGTCCCACCTTCACTACTATTTCAACAATTACCTAGTCAGGCCACGATAGATCGGAGCAGAGTATTGATTCAGGCAGTTACCTTGCTTCAAGTCTCGTATCAACTGAGCTAGAAGCCTTGCCTCTTGTCGAGTAAGAATATCTCGCATCATGTCTTCTAAATTCAGTCCTTTGTGATCGGTGTTACTACTGTCTTGCAAGCTATGGCGGGTTCATCTTCGTCTAGAACCGAAAAGACCCATAGAGGGAGAGGGTAACTCCATGACCTTATAGCGCAACGACGGGGAGAAGGGCTTCAAAACCTTAGGCAGCACTGTATTTAGCAAATTTTACGCATCGCTCATTATCAAATCTGTTTGGTGAGTGCTGAACTAGCACAACTACCTTTGGATAGACTCTCTTCAATTCCTCTGAACTTTACATTATATCAAGTAACATCCTCACGACAAGCAGCAATACTAAACGTATCGCTCATTGGTAACAATTCTGAGAGAGTCAAGACTTCAGTTTTCTCTTTTAGAATCTCCGGGAGTTGTTGCGCTACAGTTTTAGCAACCCATTCTATTTCATTCATTCGCAGCTCTTACAATATTCGCGAGTTCTTAAATCGCATCAATCCTCCACAGAATTGTCTTTGACTCTTCAGGAGGTCATTTTGCTTGGTGAGGCTTTCTACATAATTCAGCAGCCCGGCCAGGTCAGTGGTCAAATTGAAGAATTGCTTGCTCTCATATAGAGCTCATCGAGTAGTCGCTAAGAATGGCTCTCTAGAATGCGGGTGAGAAAGCTCCGCGTACTTGAGGTTTGGATCCTCGAGGCGGGAATCATAGGACTCCAGGTCGCCTACGCGATAACGCCCAGTCCGGCTATCAATAATATTAATCGTTTAAACTATAGGCATATAATGCTTGAATACAAGTATAGAGTCAGGTTTCGTTTGCTTAATTAGGTCGTCGATTAAGTCATAGGTAATTAAATAAGCCTTCTTCATTACCCAGTATCTATTCGCTCTAGCAAGGCAATTCTAGACCGGTTTCGCATACAGATTGGGGTTTTATACAACCACCTCTCAAGTAATTTCGTATGCCAGTGTAAGTATAATAAGACTACGGAAATTAGAGAAGTGGAAGGTTCTGCTCATCTAATTGAGAGCCTCTTTTTTCGCCACCTTGGTATCTCTTTCGCCTCCACCATTAATAGGTATAGGTTCAGTCCGAACCTATAAGACCAAGATGGAAAGATGTCTTGGTTTCTTCGTGAAATGAATTGCATGGGTGTATGATAAGAGCAATTGTACTCGGGTCATTCCTCCGCTTATCCACTATACTACGCCAAGAGGCACCTCAATGTAGCAAATGAGAATGCAAGAATTATCACTCTACCCTACTTAACAATCCCTTATGTCATAATTTAGGATTAATGTTTTCTGTCATTAATCACTTGGAAGGGTGGGGTAGGGGATAGGTTCGAAATGGAAGTCAAGTAAGGGGGCCAAAATTCATCCCTTTTTCTAACACAATATGTTGCGGTAACATTTCAACACATTTAGGGTTCATTGTCATATTTACAAAGTTCACTAGAGACTTGGTTTCGTCCAACTAGAGGCATCCGGATAAATGAAGACAATATAGATAATAGGATGACTAGTCCGGGTGGTCAAACCAACACCAAGCCACCTACCCACATGCTCCATTCTCAACAGTTGATTGTTCTACGCAACTACCAAGTAGAACGAGCTGAAGGTATGTCAGAAACAAAACAACTTAGGTATAAATAGATGGATCAATCAGATGATTAGTCTTCCACTCTTCTCATCAACACGCCAACCTTCAACTTTACAAACAACCAATTTATCATTTCTCAACCTCGTCTCGCCAAATCACAATGAGCTCTGCTATGGATGGAATCAAAGATGCCTTCTCCACCAAGCGACTGTATTATGTCAAAGCGGACCCCGAAGATGCAAACCTGCGGGCTATTTTGCCCCAGATCGCACATGAGCCCGTCGTCCAGGCTCTTGCGTGGACATTCATTACGAGGCCCAAGGGCAAAGCAGACTTCGATGTGCTCATCCAAACGCTAGCCAAGTCACTGCTAGCTGTCTCAATCTGCCTCCGGCCAGAAGAAGAAGAGGCGGGGCGAGCTGCCGCGGCGGGCTCCGGAGAAGTACAGCAGTCGGGAGAACCTACCAACGCCAAACCTACTGTCATAGGAGTGATGATGCTCGGATACGGGGGTGTCCATCCTGAGCTGGCCGTGCATAGGCGGACCGCACTGGGCATAATGCTGGCGGAGCCCTACCAAGGCCGGGGTTACGGTCGTGAGGCTGTCAACTGGATGATGGATTGGGGCTTTCGCTTTGCTGGGCTCCATAGCATCGTTCTTGGTGTATCCGCCTTTAATGATAAGGCGATTCGCCTGTATAAAAGCTTGGGGTTTGTTGAAGAAGGCCGTATGAGAGAGAGCCGGTATTTCAATCGCAAGTGGCACGATGAGTTGTTGTTCGCAATCAAGGAGGACGAATGGGAGAAGATCAGGGGAAATTCAGGAGGAGAGTTTAATGTCCAAATGTAAACCGTTGCGGGTTGAGCACTGTTGAGTCGCAGGGTCGCCTTTACTTGATTCATATCAACCTATATTTAGTTTCATCATCTGTCTCTCGAAATCGGACTGAGAGTTCTAAAAGCTAACCGTACCGCATAACTCTTTCTACAGCCCATGCCCATTCTTATTTCGTTGGTCCTTTTTACAACAGCCTATCTATGCAATACGAGTATACCAAATATTCTTTTACTATAGTATTATAAGATTTCAATATATTAGAACTTATGAAATGTCCACAAAGTATGGAACAGCATGCATAAAGCTTACAGGTGAATCTTAGCCACACATCAATACTAACAAGATATAAGAGGAGATCCCACTGTACTCAAACACCCGCTCTATTTCATTACTTCGGTTCAGTCACTTGAACTTCCTTGGTAAAAATCGATCACGAGGCTAAATTAAAAACAAATAGCATAAGACTCCTTGGCTCTTCGAAATCAAACACAGCTCTGTGAGAATGATTTCGAGGAATTGAATATATAGTGATCGATACCCCTTTCAACAATTTAATCTGCAAAAGTTTGAAAAACAGTAGAATATAGTTTATTCCTACCCTTGCCACTTTATTTCCTTCGTCCACCTGAAACCCTTATGCCAACATATGTTTATCTCCATAGGTATATTAGTGCAACTAATTGGCAAAATATATGTGTGTACGCAACATAAATCGAATACTTTGAGGCCTACATCCGTAATGTCTATCTAACCTTGGATTTTGTGAAGCAATCAATTATGCTCCCTCAGCAAGATAGTGCCACAACATTATCACTTACACTAAGCCTCACCCCCTAAAACTAACGGCCTTAATACACAATCGGCATAAACGCATCGAGAAGACCGCCGATTCCCATGAACGAAATATTTATATCCGAATAAATTGGAAAATAACGGAACAGTCTAATTTGCATGGGGAGTAAGAGTCATTCACCTAACCTTTCAGGGCAACTCAATGTATCTTTCGACAGTCAGCCTTTGCCGCATGTCTTTCTGAAGACCCTTCAATATCAGGCATTTGATTAGTGGGCAACATTGTGGTTTACAGAAATACTATGTTAGAAGAAACGGAGGGCGAGTGTCCCTATTCAAGCAAAA